GGTATAAGGCATTAATCATAATAATTAGAGATGGTTCCTTCAATATTGGTATCACCTTTTCGGAGACCCACTATTTATGAGACTCTTTATCCATAGAATCATGATAGTCTGCACTCTTCGATTTCGTCGAAAATAGTAATCCAGCATCTTTAACAAATCCTTGCCTACTTCAGGCATGTAAAGCGACAAAGCGTTTACCTGTATTTTCGTGTCCTTTTCTGATGCTTTTCACACAGTCATCTTGCCAAGTACGTTTATATGCCCCTTTTAGGAATATCCATGTTTCATCTAAAAAAAACGAACTGAAGTGGGCTTGTACTTTAAAAATTTCTTATATAATGCCCCAAAAAATACAGTCGTTTGGAGACAATACATAGTTTCTCATATAGCACTCGTCTACTATTTTCTAGTTTGTATGAAATCCCACAATTTTTCATAAGACGCCACAAACTTGTATCAAAACCGGCATAGAGATGCTTGTTTCTTAATTGTGTGTTTAGAACTTTAATTATAATGTGCTCTCCTTTTGCTTTCATGCCATACAGTACCTTTCTAATCTCTCCTTTTATAGTATTGCTGACATCATCAGTCTTTTTTTTCGTACATTACGTGACTCTCCTGGTGTAGTAAGAGCTGCCCCTGTCTTGTATTCACTCTTTATTCTTGTCACTGTGCGAAGACTGATTTTCAAAGCGTCCGCGACTCATTCATGTACCGATGATAACGAAAGCAAAGGTCCGTTGTTTTCTTTTTCTTTTTTAAAGTACTCGAATAAATGAACTACACATTGTCGCATTTTTCTTGTTATTGTTTTTCCTGTCATTTTTTTATTAAATAGGACAATTAGTTATTCACAACTAAAAAATAATAAGTAAAACTGTTCGGAATAAATTCCAACAATGACTGACTAAAATCGACTAAAACAACATAAAATATTAATGGTAATTGCTACAATTATAAACCTATTAGCCAGCTCATTCAAGAACAATGCCACAAGTCATTATTGCAATGGGTATCGAATTGAATTACGCATCTGTGTATCAGAGAAAGACGAATATTAAAAATTCCGTAGTAGCTTATTTCAGGCACAAGCCAGGAACGATGAAAACGAGTTATATCAGAATTTCACTCAATGATACTGTAATCGTTACCTAACAAGAACCCTAAACAGAAAAAGCCAAAAAACTGAGTGATAAATAACAAAGCCAAAATGTTTTTCGTCTTTACTCAGACGAAGTTACATAAACTTGCTTTAACTCCGATTTCCTATTTTAAGCAGTGTTTTCAGTCTCGTCCAATATTAGCATACTAAATATTAATAGTATAATTAGTGATATTCTTGATTTAGTTGCATTTATAAATATTCTTATTGTTTTTAAAAGAAAGTATCTTATATAATTTAATACATATATTATATATAAAATTATTGTCCACTACAGATTACAGCTAATACCAGATTTGTACAATTTAAGGAAATAGTGTAAACACTATATTTACTTTCCTTGTCAATTACCTTAGATATTACGATACTTAAATATTTCTTCTTCCTCTGTTAGTACCCTGTCCGATTATAGAACATTGGTGATCATCTTCTTTATCATGGCAAATTATATTTTGCAGTCTTCTGCTCTGAAAACAATTGTGGTTGTTGTGTTGAACCACGTACGTAGATTTTTCAGTCACGAAATCCTTCGCGTTCCTAGTCTGCGGTTTCCTTTTACTTTTTCTTGTAAAATTAATTTTTGCAACCCATTTCTTTCGCTGTTCCTCATGATGTGACCGAGTTATTCGATATTGGCTGTTTTTATTGTGGTTAGCAACTCTTTTCCTTTTTGCAATGGAATGGTCCCAATTTTCATTGACTTTCGTACCAAAGTAGGTGTATGTTTTTACTATTTCTATAGGTTGACCATTCACACTTATTCTTTCAATTTCCTTTTTCTTCTTAGCGATCATTACATATTTTGATTTCTTAATGTTCAGTAAAAGTCCATATCTCACTTCTGTAGTTCTATTTAATAGCTCCTAATAAATGGTAAGAGTGATAGTATTCATCCCTGTCGGACCCCACGTTTGATTTTGATAACATCGAATTCTCCTACCTTTGTGCGGATAGAAGATATTTGATTCCAGTAAAAATTGCTAATAGTTCTTAGATCACAGGTATTTAATTCAATATTTGTTATTATCTCCATCAGCTTGTCGTGTTTTACTGTATCGAATGTTTTATTTTAATCAGTGAAACATGCATAAATATCGCAATTTACATCTCTACATCGTTGAAATAGCACTTTACAATAGTATGCTAAACAGAGCCTCACTCGTTCACACAGTGTTCCAAAAACCAAACTGTGTAGGCCTAATTTTTTCTTTGCATAGTCTTTATATCCTTTGATGTATGATTTTTAGAAATAATTTTAAAATGTGGCTCATTATGCTGATGGTCCGGAAATCATTGCAGTATACGGATTTTGTTTTCTTGGGTAAAGCAATAAACGTTGACTTCAACCGTGACCTTGGTAGTACTTCGTTTACTCTTTAGTGATCATTTTGGCAATAATACCTTTGTTTACAGCAATTTGAAACATAGCGCATGTCTCTTGATATCACTCTTAGAGATTTCGAAGCCAGAATGTTCTTCTTCGGCATAATCTTCTTCTTTTCACGATTTTGCTCTGTATTATGAGGTGTAGAAGGTTATATCACTCGGGATGTCTTATTACATTGCCAAAATATTGTAATTTTTGAGTTTTATTATTTGTGTGCTCTTTTTCATTCGGTGTAACACTATTTTTTTTTATTATTCGATTAATCCAATTTATCCGTAATATTCGTCGGTAAATTCAGATCTCAAAGATCTCAAGTTTTTTCATTAGTATTGGTGTAAGAATCCTGATCTCCACGCCATACAGCAATGCGTGGAATATGTAGCAGTATATTAATCTAATTTTAAGGTTTAATGTTATATATTTATTAATGAGAATTTTCTGTAGTTTATACATGGCTCTCGCTGTTTCAATACGTATTCTTATTTCTTTGCTTGTATCCCAGTTATCGTTAACACTGGCATCCAAATAGGTAATATTGTAAAGTTTTTTTTAAATCTATTTCATACGCTTTGATGTTTATTTGTTGTAACTCTGTTTTGCTGACAATCATAAGTTTTGTCTGAGAAGGATTAGGCCTCAGCCTATATCCAACACATACTTTGTCAACTATCGGTTTGTCTTGGGTGACCAGGTCAAAGGTCAACTTTTTTCAAGTCGATAAAACAGATATATACTGGTTGTTCTATATCTCTACATCTTTGAACCAGGACCTGCAAACTGACTCATGCTTCTCTGGTTCCAAGGATATTTCTAAAACAAAATTGTGTTTCGCTTAATTGTATTTCTATTTTGTTGTAAATTCTCAAGTGCAGTATTTTTAAGAAAATCAGTACATGGCTCATTAGACTGATAGTGCCATAATTGCTGCATTGCTTAGCGTTTATTTTTTTCGGTATCATTATAAATGTTGTCAGTAGCAAGTTTGTTGGTATATGGCCTGTTTCATATATTTTACTAAAGACCTTTAGAAAATAATGTTTGCCTTTACCGTAGCGTTGTTTGAATATTTCGCTGGGAATTTCATCTGGACCAGCTGCTTTCCTACTATTGAATAGTTTTATAGTTATTTCCATTTTATCGAAGGGTATGTTTGGACCAGTCAATATATTTTCGGTTTGTATTTCTGTGCTTTCGTCATCAAACAATTGCTTTATATATAGTCCAGTTATTTCTTACGTCTTTTTGTACATATTAAATGTACCATTTTTTGTACTGTTCTCTTATTTCAATACATTTGCTTTTCTACTATTTTTCTTTGCGTTCAAAATTTTCCTTACTTAAATATTTAGGGTTCTGAAACTGTTTTCTTGTGTCATGTTCAAATATGGTATTATTTTAGAGGGTATTAAAAAAATTAATTGTAATGAGAATTACGTTTTACATATTTGCTTTGACCTTTTAAGTTACCATCGGGAAATCGTTTTTAAAAAACTCTGAAATAAAAATTATAAATTATCTTAACTTGTAAATATTTATAATTGGTAGTGGGTAGTAATACCAACCTGGCTGTTTTATTTGACATACCTACTCCCGTCGAGGAATACCAGAATAAATAAAACTGTTTCATGAAGACTTCATGAATGCTAACAAACTCTGTATCAGAGAACCTAAAAGAGTTAACCAAATCTTGCATGACTGCGAGGTATTAGATCGCACGCTGTAAACACGTTTTGGAGACAACCAAGTGACTTCAAAAATATGTGGCATACATTTACTACACCTATATAAGCTGATATGGGGTTCTGGAATCCTGGAAAGGGTATCATGCAGGAATGTAAGATATCTTCTTTTTCTTCACGTACCATCTCCTCTAAGAAGGTTGGCAAGCATCATGGCAATTCGCATTTTCGACGCCGCTGCTCTAAAGAGGTTTATAAATGTAAGATATACAAGTCTAAATGTAAGATATATAGTGAGTCAATTGGCTAAAGAATGACCATGATGGTTTACATGAAACAGACGGCATCCATGAAAAAAAAATAGCTTATTGATAAAAAAGCTGTAAAAATGCATCAAGTTTGGCCTTGATCCTTATTAATAAAACACTTTGTTTGGTTTCCATTAGCGTTTGTAATTTTGTAGAACTTTTAATACCACATTTATGTAAATAACAAATTCCGTATTTTGAGAATTTTTGTTCTTTAACTGAACATATGTCATATCCTTTCCGCAAATCTATACAAATTATATGTAATGCCTCTGAACATATAATGTTATTTCTGAACATAATCTAAGCACGATCCCTAAGATCTTATAATACTATATTCTTCGAGTACTTAAATTCTCTTCAAACTTCACACAATTCATTAATTTTTAATGTCTTACATGTATTACTAGAAGTATTATTTCTATGGGGTATATTTTTATTCAGTAATGAAAAATAACGTGGTTAAAAAAGTATCTGAGTATTTATTTCATTTAAAATATTAAGGCATTTAGGTACTATTACATAAAAATTGTAATATAAATAAAAAAAATCTAAATAAATTCAGTTATGTACAAGAAGACCCTAATTCATCAATAAATAAATATACTAAGAGAAAATCACAAGGAATAGAAAAAGGTGACCAAAATTGAAATCTCACCGTTACAAAATTTGTTCTAACAACAAAATTATCAGTACCTACAAAATCGTTTTTTTATTTTTAAAGTTTATAACCATATAATCAATATATTACGTTAAATATCCACTATTTTACTCTTCGATTCAAATTAAATACACATTTTCTTTGAACATGTATTAACGTAGTGTTATTTTCATGATATTCGTTATAAAATGAAATTATTTTTTTGGAATTTTTTATTGACCTATTGGCTACAAAGAATTACTATAACAAAATTCCAATAAATTTTTATGTATTTTTCTTTTTATAATGAAGGAAAAGTACCTGAAATCTTTGCTAAAGTAGGTTAATATACAATGTTTTTTTAAATATGATAAACATTTAATGTTCATTATTTTAAAAAATTAAATTGAATTTGAATTTATCAGTTAATTCTTAAGATCTTTTTATTACACGTCAAATTCATTTTTATAACGATTTAATGTTAGGTAAGGTTATCTTAGTTTACTTTTTTCATTTCTAATTTTTATGTCAATATCTATATTTACATATATTGCTGAGTATACTTTTAAATATTTAAAAAAAATTAGTGACAAATTAAAAAGAAGAAAGCACGTTTTGTTTGTTTTAGGATTTGCATAATATTGGTGGATATCAACTATATGGTTATAAACGTCCCTACTTTTAAAAAAAATTATGCGCTAAAGAAATATTTCTGTAACGGCAAAATGTAGCAGTCCTTATACCAGGCTACTCAAAAATAGCTTTAAATCAGTTGTATAACTTTAATTGAATGGTTGAATTTTACTGTTTTTTAGTATTGTTACAACTATATAAATGCCAGTATATCCTTTAAATAATTTATTGCATATTGACGATGAGATAATGTCGTTTCTGAATAACATTCATAAACTTTATTTAATTTAATCAGTAATTACTAACATGTAGTTTTTGTGGATTATTAAGTAATGAGGATATTAATTTGCCAATATAATATATCATTAGCAGCTTTTGCATAGTTAAATTGGGTTTAAGTATGAATGTTATGTATACAAATGTCCATTTTAAATGCCAAAACCACTTCAGCTTTAGGTATAATAAATTGTTCACGTCACTTTCTAAAGAAGGGACTGTGCTGTCATTGGATACTATGATTTGTCATTAAATTTGTCTTAAATATGCACCATTGTGCACACAACTATATAAACTACACTATAAATATAAGAGGTATGTATACAAATATGTTTTATTGGTGATATTTTGAAAACTTTTATATTATTGTAACATCATTAAAAACAATACCTATGCACCAAAGTCTCTGGCTGTCTTTAGTAATTAATATTATCTTTATCTATTGCACTGCTTCCCTCACTCCGATTTTTGAGTTACCCTGTATATCACAGATGTACAAAGCTCCCTTCACCAGACCCTTCACCATACCCGAAAATTGAGTTACTTAATATTAGATTATTGCGACAAAAATCCATGTCATAAATAATGTCTTATTTTGACATAAAAAATGATTCTCAATATCAATATTTGTATCTTAAACAATGCAGAGAAGCCAATATATTATTTTATAATAAAATCAGTGTTTTATTCATATCTATTTAAACTTTGTTTAAAATTTTAAAAATATGTAATTTAATTGACTAGATTTCTTCTTTATTGTAATGTATTCGTATTTGTGATATTCTTTTAAAAAAGAAACATTTTTTAGTCGAAATATGTCATTTCTAACCTACCAAAATTCATATTACTAAAGTCAATGGGATTCAGATCCCTTCATAAGAACAGACATCCCTATGTACTTGGCAACATACGAAAACCAGCCAATATTTTTTATTTACTAGTGAACTGGCTGGTTCTCCTACATTTTTTCTGTAATATTCTTTCGGTATACATAATAATCTCTAAGCACCACAGAGTCTTTTTAGCGGACGTTCTCAGGCGAGGTGTTTGCTAGGGTTGAGCCATTTCTTCATGTAATAACAGAAGAGGGTGCTAATGTAGAGTAGGACTAATAAAGCGCAGGTGACTCCTAGAGCTAGGACGGAGGTCTTCGTTGGACAAGGTTCGATGATTGTTACTGTTTTATCTAAAAATAATATAATATGGGATTAAAAATCTACCTATTTATTTTATTGCTTGAACTTTCTTATACTTTTATAAATTTATAAGTGTATATTAAAAATATACATTTATTTTTTCTGTATGAATTAACTTAACATTTTCAGATAATATTTACATTTATTTTCTCTTTTGGGCATACCGGAAATATTCTAACCGCTTAGAATGGCAATAAAATAAAAATATTATTTAGTGGGATAGATAATATAGTGGATAAATTTATTTAACCCTGCGGCGTAAAAAAAAATAAATAATGAAAATAACAAATTTAAAAAGATGGTTTAAAGAAATAATGACAAAAGCTATCACAACGATATGTTACATATTATATTCTCTATTACGCCTAGCATTTCTTTAGAGCACAATACAAACAGGAAGATGTGAAACTACTTGGATCAGTATTTGACGAAAAATAGAAAACTAAATTTAAAATGTTACATATCTTATTAAAAATATAAAATCAAGAAAAACATGGAATCGTAACAAACAGTCTAAAAAGGATTAAGTTAAGTTAAAAGAAACCAAAACAAACTCTATGTAGAGAAAACAATAGAAAAAAATATCAGTTGTAGAGAGTCAATACTAAGGTTTTAACACATAAAACTTGATAAATCTTAAACATGATATATTTTTAAATTAGAATGTATTTAGAATGTATACTCTGACACTTACCTTTACCAAATTCTGCACTCGAAAGTTCACTTTTTAGGAATTCTGATTGTTTCTCATCACCAAAGTCTAGTACAAGAATTTCCTGGCTAAGAGTCATATCCTCTTCTTTTTCGTCATCAGTTTGGTTGCCAACGCTTCTCTTCTTCCTGCCCCATGATTCTAGCGATTCTCTGCCCCATTCACAGACGGCCTAAAATGGAAAATATTTTCGATTACATTTGAAAATGTTTGCAGAAAGGGCTTAAGTAAATTTTTAATAGAATAGTTTTTTTGACACAAATACATGCTAAATATCAAATTACACCGATTGATGCAGAAAGAAAAGAAGTAACCTTGACCCTTAGTTATTATTTAATTACAGTTTTACGAAGTTTTATGCAGAACATCTTATCCTTCTCTTGTTAGACATAAGCCTCTTGCAACTCCTTCCATCGATCCCTATCCTGAGCATTAAACTTCCAATTTGTTTCGGTTATTCTTTTTATGTTGTTTACCCATCTCGTCTGAGGTCCTCCTCTTGGCTGTCTACCTTTGTAAGGTCTTCAATATTGTATTGGTGCATTCCAACGTTGGTCTGTGTGTCTAGAAGTGTGACCTGTGAAGCTCCATTTGAGTTTGGCAATTTTTATTGAGATACCCTTAGCTTTTGTTTTTGATCTTAAGTAGTCGTTCCTCTTTTTATCTGACCATCGGTTACTTGACGTTGCTCTTTTCATTGCCCTTTCTATTGTGGTTACTTTATTTATATTTGCATTGGTACGGGTCCAGCTTTGACATCTATATGCTATAATAGGAAGAAGGCATTGGTTGAACACTTTGCTCCTCAGGTATTTTGCTGTTCTTTAGTTTTCAACTGAGTTTTCAAATCCCGTTAACACCAGTCTTGTTGTTTTAGCTTTTTTCGCACTTTGTTTCTTCTGTCAAGTTTCAGAATTTGGCCTAGGTAGATATATTCCTGGAAGTGTTCTTATTATCAGCAGTTGATCTGATGTACTATATCCTCTGCGAAAGCCAGCCTGTTTAATCGGTTGGTAATTATCCATTTGGTGAGGATTGTTAATATATCTCATGAAGAGTTTGTAGACTAAAGTTAGCAACGATATAGGTTTATAATTATTCTTTAGGACACATCTGGCTCTTTTTTTGTGTACGAGTATTACTAGACTCACGACGTTTCAGTATTTAGGGATTTTGCTATTATCAAGACTTCAATAAAATATCTGTTAGTATTGGGTTTGTTACTGTCTTCCTTGTTTTTAAAAGCTCGGCAATTATTCCGTTTTTTTTTCTTTCTTTTTTTTTTTCTCGTTATATCCTACACAAGGTTTTGTAAAACTCGTCGAATATATGTGTTATTTTATATTTGCCTTTCTCTTCCTTATAGTGTATTTTTATGTATAAGAGAGTAATAAAACAATAAATTATGTATGCAAATCCCTAAACTGTTGATACGGGTGACTCAATGAAAAACAGATATTTGTCAACAAGTTTACAGAAGTATATAGGAAAACAATTTTAAATTGAGTATGACCACCAGGTGTAAAGGTTGGAGCAGAATAGAATACAATAGTTGTGAGGGTTACTAATACCTAAATAAGGTTGCCAGTGTCGGAGTGATGGAGGTTAACAGGTACTAATGAATTTGCAAGAAATGTAAGATGTTTATTTTATTGGTTATATATAACCAATAAAAGTTTAATAAGTACGTACCTATTTGCAAAATAAAGTATAATTCTTTAGATAAAATAAAACGTTTTATTTTATCTGAAATGAGTGCATTTCACGAAGTAAGGGTTTCAACAATCAAACATTTAATTTTTTAATTCCAGGAATCTACGACAGTAATTGACTAGATAATTACCTTCTAAACTTATTCCACAGAAAATGTGATAGTGGGTTTTTCCATTTTGTAGGAAGGTCCAAGTGGCGTATTCAAAATTCTTAAAAGTTCACTAAAAGTAGGTACTTCAGTTGCAAGGTGCAGTTTATTGTGTATACTAGTGTTATGGAAAATTTGGAAGTGCCGTGTAAACGCCGAAAAATTAATCCTTTAACAGTTAATGAAAAAAGATTAATATTTAATTGTTTTAAATCATTTACAGACAAACGTTTATGTGAAAGTGTTGATGAGACCGTTGAGTTAGTTAGAAGTACACTTCGTGTTGGGAAATCTACGATTTGCAGAGTTATTAAAGAAGAGAAATGTGGTAGTTTTCAAATGCCACGTAATGCTCCAGGGAAACCAAAATTTCAAATAGAATATCATTTTAAAGAAGGACTTCGACGGAAAGTGCATAAATTCTTCTTTAGACAAGAATTTCCAACATTGGATAAAGTTCTTGTCTCAGTTCGAGATGATAAGGATTATCCAGAAATGAGTCGAAGTACGTTATGGAAACTTTTAAAAGAAATAGGCTTCCGCTGGAAAAAGAATCCCAGAAAGTCTATTTTATTAGAAAGAAGCGATATTGTCATATAGAGAAGACATTTTCTAAAAACCATAAAGGAAATGAGAAACCAAAAAAGAAAAATATTTTATCTTGATGAAACATGGATCAACGAGGGTCATACACCAAATAAATTTTGGCAGGATGAAACTGTTACAAGTCAAAGGCACGCTTTTGTAAATAACTTATCTACTGGTTTAAACCCACCATCAGGAAAGGGACGCAGGCTGATAATAGTACACATTGGCAGTTCAGACGGTTTTGTTGAAGGTGGTTAATTAACTTTTGAATCAACTCGTACCGGTGACTACCATGAAGACATGAACGCTGATGTCTTTCAAGAATGGTTCGAACAAATGATAGATCTTCTTCCTAAGAACGTTCTAATAGTAATGGATAATGCAAGTTATCACTCCAGATTTATAGAAGGGCTGCCCACAACCAAGTGGTTAAAAAAAGACTTGCAGAATTGGCTGAGTTCAAAAAATATTACGTACCATCCCGGATCTATAAGAAAGGAACTTTATTCGTTGTGTGCCCTTCATAAAGAAAAATTTAAAAAATACGAAATTGATGAAATTGCCAAAAATCGTGGAATGACAGTACTTAGATCCCCACCATATCATTGTGAATTAAACCCGATTGAACTGGTATGGGCACAGATAAAGAGTGAAGTTTCAGGAAAAAATACCACTTTTAAAATTCATGATGTTAAACAGTTGTTTTTGGAGGCCGTAAATAATGTAAAACCTGAAAACTGGGAAAGTAACTATTAAAGGGGCAGTAAATTACACTATTAAAGAAGAGGAAAAAATGTGGAAGCTGGACAATATTACTGATAAAATGATCGAGCCAGTTATTATAAATCTTGGTTCTGAAAGTTCATCTTCTGAATCTGATTTGTATTTGTAACAAGTAGCTGTAAGTTTTATATTAATATTTTTATTTATATATTTAACATACCTTAGACGGTTTTAAAAACTCTTTTTCTCTTTTGTAATTTTTAAAAATTAAAAAAAACCTTTTTAATGTAGGCCAGTCAGTTCTAATATAGTGTGTGATAAAAGAGGTCACTTTTGTTTACATACACATAACACTTTATAACACTGAAATAATTAATTTATTTTTTACAATTATTCAAAGTAATTTTTCAATTATTAATCTTGAGCACGCCCATGGACTGGTCGGAGGTACCAGTTAAAATTATGCTAATTACTCTCTCGTTCATAAAAATAAACTATAGTATTGGTGTCTTTAATTTTGATGATTTTTTGAAATTTTGAAAACCCAGTGTTAATTTTAAATATTTTAGGCCTCTATTGTCTTCGATCACTTATGTCTATGCATAAAATCTATGCATAATTATGCATATGCATATTATGCATAAAATTTTCCCGATTTTTTATTAGGGAAAGTAATTTGCACGATTCTAGATGATACTTTTGATGTGCAGTTGACGTTTTGGTGTTAACTGTTCGTTACGTCTTAAACATATGAGTGACTAACTAAGATAAAAGTGCAAAATCAGAAAATTCTTAAAGAAATAATATTAAAAAGCTAAAAGAAGTGGTATGGAGTATTTTTATATCAAAAAAGGTAGTTGTTGCAGCTAAATTTAAGGTTCTGATTTTAGGTTGGGAGAATGTAATGAATATTTGTAAAAGAAACTATTTTGGTAAAGTGTCTAAAGATAAAGACTAAAAATTCAAAACCCAACACCCAACGCCAGAACTCAAAAACTTCATTACTTTGGGTATGACGTTGAATATCCTGGTTCTGTAAAGGTTTTTTTACTCCATCAAAGGTATAGTGGAACCTACTTCTCACCCTAATTAGGGTGAAACTAAAAAAATAGTTGGTGGGTAAAATCAAAAAGTGCATAGGGTTAGTGTTAGTTGATATCTCTTCCAAAAAATTTTTTTAGGAAATAATTTCAATTTGGTCGATTTTTAATACACACAACAACGATTATTCGAACTTTTCCATAATGTTTTTTTTTTTTAATTTTTAATCCGTTGATGTTATCCTCAGTACCTATGTTAATGTATAGAAAATAAATAGTTTTCAAACTTTTCTTTATTTTTATACAAACATGGATTAAGTTAAATTTTTCAAAGACATTTTAAAGACAAAGAGATCTTTAAACTCATCATTTTTTTAATTTGAATGGTTTTGTTGTTAACCGCCGTAAACCTCGAATGAAAAATTTTTAAAAATGGTAGAGAAACAAATTCGAGAAAGGGCGTACAAAATTCAAGAAGTAAACATTTATATTATTTATAAGTCAACCAAGATGAGTATTGCCCACATATTATACTAAAAACTGAGCATTCTAGCTAGACAGTCTAGTCTTAAATTTATAGATTTAAAAATATGATGACTGTATAATATTGTTAATAGTTACCTATTATTACTATAATGAAAGCCAAAATCAGATGTAAATCATAAAATGTATTTATTATTTTAAATATTTACTTTTGCTATAAAAAGTGATGTTATTAATTAAACTATTATAAAAATAAATATTTTATGCTTACTGGTTCGCAAGGTCCAAGACAATACTTCACGTTGCACTGAAAGATAACTCCGTAAGATTCAGTAAATCTGAAGGCTTCGTATACGGATTGTAGAGCGGTACCATCTGGAGTGAAGGCAGGGAAAATAGTAGCATCAACTGGACAACCCTCATCATCGATAATTTGGAACGTGCTTTTTGAATCCTTAGCCATAGCTACGCAGCTTCTTGCAAATATACCGTAAGGAGCTAGGAATAAGAGTAACATTTTTATAAATATATATTAGAAATTAAAAGTTAAATTTAAAATTAAATTCAAACAGAATAACTAATAAACAGTTTGTAAGAAATAGGGCTTGAATCAGTTAGTATTCTCCGAAGGTCCCCTGAAATTGTGGGGAGGTCTTTTGGCCATAATCTAGCGTTCTTTTTGTAGTTGCGTTATTGTCAAGTTCTCGTGTTAGCTGGTTGTTATATTTAGTGCTTCTTCTTCTTCGCATGCCATATCAGAACTATCCGACGTTGGCGATCACCATTGCGAAGACTTCTCAATCTTCTGCAATATGGATTTATATTTAGTGCATCGACTTATAATTCTTTGCATTAATTTAAATTACCCTCAATTATACATGTTTCTTAAATAATTTCGATAAATGAGTTGAATTGAGTTTGAGCATCGCGTTCTATATAACTAATTTTATAAATAGATTAATTTTGTGACAATTAGATATGAAATATTTTGGAAATTCGTTATATAACGAGTGCATACTATAAATAAAATGACAAACCAGTGACCTACTAATTAATCTACACTGGTTAATGGGATTTAAATACAATTTTAATCAAATATACGTAATTCTTTAACTTTAACTTTAACCCACCGAGCGATTGCCGGTATAAGCAATCCCCCACTTACCTACCAACGGCTTCGGGCGGATGAGTTGGTAAGTGACAGGGCACTCTTTTGTCCTGACATAGAGAAATCTGTCTCGAAGGCGGATGAATCAAGGAATGGTCAACGGCGTAAGGATACAGAAGGCAACGGGAAACCACTGTATTAATGATCTTTAAGATTCCCTAGTATAATCACGATGGCAAATGTCACATCAATCACTCATGTTACTGATTATGGACCTCGGAACCCAAGATCCGGCAGGAGAGGAAAACCACAGACCGACCATAGGGCCTCTCGGGTCGTGAACCAGCGAAATCCCTGTGTAAGTAATATCAATCACCTTAAGATATTAAGAATAGCGACGTGGAATGTAAGAAGTCTCTTTGCAGCAGGTAAATTAAATAATGTAGCCCTTGAAATGGAAAACCTTAAAATTGATGTCCTAGGTATAAGTGATGTACAGTGGCCAGGATCAGGAAAATGCACGAATCACAGTGGAACACTTTATTATTCAGGCACTAACAGTTCAACTCATCGTTACGGTGTCGCTGTCTTGGTATCAAAGAAAATTAGTAACTGTGTAACAAGCTTTACTCCCTTCTCTGATAGAATAATGACACTACAACTTCAGTCAAATAAACAAATTATAAATATTATACAAGTATATGCTCCTACGGCTGATAAAGATGATGATGAAATTGAAAGTTTCTATTACGATCTGGAACAAATTCTAAAATCAATGAAGAAACATCATACTACAGTAGTAATGGGCGATTTTAATGCCAAAATTGGACATGGAAGTGTGGACGGTTATGTGGGTGACTATGGATTAGGAGAACGAAACGAACGAGGAGACCGTATGGTACAATTTTGTTAAGCGGAGGAGTTAGTAGTTGCTAACACTCTTTTTAAGTTACCTAACAGACGACTGTACACATGGAAATCTCCGAGTGACACCAAAGGTAGAGTAGTCAGAAACCAAATTGACTTTGTCCTTGTTAGTCAAAGATTCCGCAACTCTATACTCTCAGCTAAAACCTACCCAGGAGCAGATATAGGCTCGGATCATAATCCTGTAGTAGTCACATTAAGAATAAAAGTAAAGATCTTTAAAACCCACATACAGAAACAAATTGACGTGAGAAGACTGAATGAACAACATATAAAAGAGAAAACAATAGTGAACATCAAAGAAAATTTACAAAATATGGAGAAACTGAATAGAAATACTGATAACATAGACCAAAAATGGGAGAATATTAAACATACCGTAATGTTGGCAGGGAGAGAAAATTTAACACCGAAAGAAAGGAAACATAAAGAATGGATGAATGAGGAAATACTACAGTTGATGCGTGAAAGAAGGGTACACAAAACAAATAATCCGATAAGATACAAAGAAACAGATAAACTGATAAAAAAGAAAATAAGAGAAGCTAGAGAAAGATGGCTAAGTGAGCAATGCCATGAGTTGGAACAATTGGAGCGAAAATATGACTTTTTTAATGTACACAAAAAGATTAAAGAAATGACAGGAAGGAGAAGAACAACACAGACAGGACAGATCAAAGATACAGATGGTAGAATTATAACAGATTTACAACAAAAAATGAACCGACGGACAGAATACATATCACAACTGTTTGATGACAAAGATAGACAAGAAATCTCAAACGAATATACTGATGATACAGGGCCTGATATAATCAGAGAAGAAATAGAATATGCAATCAAACAAGCAAAAAGTGGTAAGGCCCCCGGTCCTGATGAAATTCCCGTAGAACTGCTCAAACTTATGGACGATGAATCTATTAAAATACTCCTAGATCTATTTAACACAATATATAGAACTGGAATAATACCTAGGGAATGGCTCCGTTCGACCTTAATACTACTGCCAAAAAAGGCAAATACAAAGGAATGCAACGAATATCGTACGATAGCTTTGATGAGTCATGCTCTAAAACTGTTCTTAAAAATAATCCATAATAGGATCTATAGGAAATTAGACGTAGACTCACGTATCAGTAACACTCAGATGGGATTCAGAAAAGGGCTGGGTACAAGGGAGGCTCTGTTTGCAATGAACGTTCTCTCACAGAGATGCTTAGACATGAACCAACAAATTTACGCCTGCTTTATTGATTTCGAAAAGGCCTTTGACAAAGTACAACATGAACCACTAAGATAAGTTCTAATAGAGAAAAATATAGACAGCCGAGATATTCGAATTATATGCAATCTATATTGGAATCAAACAGCAATGTCAAGGTTGAGGGCAGACTAACAGAAGAAATTCAAATCCGTCGAGGAGTCCGGCAGGGATGTATCTTATCGCCACTTTTATTTAATCTGTATAGTGAAGCTATCTGTTAACAAGCACTCGAGGAAGAAGATCTTGGTCTGATAATAAATGGTGAGACGATCAACAATATAAGGTATGCTGACGATACAGTTCTCCTAACGGGAACGCTATTAGAACTACAACATCTCGTTCAAAGTCTCAATATATACTGTAACAGTTACGGCTTGAAAATTAATTTGAAAAAAACTAAATTTATGGTAATCACGAAATCAAAGAACATCAGAGCTAATCTTGTAATAGACAATACAACGATTGAGCGTGTGCCCTGTTATAAATATCTAGGTGCTTGGATCACAGACGATACTGATCAAACAAAAGAGATTAGATGTAGAATAGAAATCGCTAGATCAGTCTTTAATAGAATGCGCAAACTCTTTTGCAATCGTGATATCAATATAAAGTTACGAATACGAATGCTGCGGTGTTATGTCTTTTCTACCCTGTTATATGGAGTTGAGGCTTGGACTAAAACAGTTGACCATAAAAAACATCGAAGCTTTCGAGATGTGGTGCTATAGGCGCATTCTCAGAATATCATGGATGGACCGCGTCACTAACACGCAAGTACTCCAAACTTTAGACAAAAGATGCGAAATTCTAAATGAGATAAAAACTAGAAAGATGGAATACTTGGGGCACATTGTGAGAGGTGAAAAGTACGAACTTTTAAGAAACATCATGCAGGGCAAAATTAAGGGCAAAAGAAGTGTGGAAAGAAGAAAAATATCGTGGCTTCGTAATCTACGTGAATGGTTCGGGTGTAGTTCGATTGAACTTTTCAGGCGCGCTGCTAACAAAGTCGCAGTGGCCATGATGATTTCCAATCTCCGCTAGGAGTGGCACGAGAAGAAGAAGAATTCTTTAACGTTTTGACTACCACCTTGAAAATTGTTTATTTGGCGTTTCAATTTCCATTTCGGAAATCGGTTTCTAAACTAAACAAAGTTTGTTTTTGAAACTTGGTGAAAAGTTCTTCTAATACTGTAATTTTATATGACTCATTCATATTGCCAATTTAGAAATACATTTTAACGTAGATGACTTTAAAATAATATTGTCAATATCTTTGAGTTGAGTTCCTGGGACAACTTTATTGGAAGATATTTAATTCGTTTACATAAAACCAACTTTAACTTCGGAATATCTACCCGTCAGAAAAATTATTACAATTGGTTTGTCTTTAAAACAACAACCACATGCAATAATGACAGTGAAATTCTCCTATTAGTGATAACATAGTAAATCGTGGGAAAAAACAAAAAAAAACCTCGTGATATTAACCCGACATGGTAAGTATTTGGTCTTATAATTAGTTTACTCTCAATATTAAGATAAAACTCTGATTTTTTATGTATGTTATTTTAAAAAAGATAAATGATGTATCCTCGACATGTCATAGACTTAGTAATGATGATATATCCTTTTTATTGATTTTCTCTTTAATATAGATGTAGCCAGATCCTAATGCATTCCGCCAAGAAATTTTCAATGCAAAGGGTTTCCTTTAGAGCAGCCTCTTTGACTTTCTCTTTTTACCGTCTGTTTGTTTGACGACTAGACTTAAATCTTCTATCGAACTCTATATTCTTTTTTCATGCAGTACACATATTTGAGATTTATCAAATTCTCTTTTTTTTAACGTAAGATTGATATTCACTTATTCTATAATTTAATGGCCTTGATGTTTCACCTAAATAAAAATTTTCCATTTAGAAGCTATTTCATAAATACAAGTCTGTGTTATGTCTGTCTTCTTTATCGTTAGGTTTAGTTTTAGATAAAATAGATTTTATTTTTTTTTTTGATTTTAATGTTGTTGAAATATCAAATTGATTTTCTGTCATTTTAACTTTTTACGATATTACTTTTATGTATTATATTGTTACTTCTTTTGAATGTTATAGGATCCCGTTTTAAGTAGTTCTGTTACATTCCAATAAAAATAGTAATATGCAGATATGTAGGTACAAAATTGTAACAGAACTACGTTATTACTATTAAAATTACACAAACACATTGTTTTAGAAATATATTAGCAGCATAAATAAATGATTAGCAGGTTTTGGTTGCATTTAATCACCATATGATGCATCGAATGGTTGAATTGATATTTCCTCTGTTAAAAGAAACACTTTCTCTTGTCTGAGAAAGTCTGTTTATTAAAAATTCTTCTATCTGGCAGAATTGTATTAAAAGCTCACCACGTTTATTTCTGTTTCCTAGATCATAATCACCCATTATTATAGTAGTGTGATGTTTCTTCATTAAGTTTTAGACCTATTCCAAATTATGGTAAATTATTTCGATTTCTTCTTTATTCTTATCTGCTGTTAGAGCATAACTGAATAAAATTTACTATACCTTATTAACAGAGTGTATCTAAAACTTATACAAAGTAGTTGATCCTTTTTGCAACTAAGATAGTAACACCATACCGATAATTAACCTTGTTAGTACCTGAATAACATATGGTTCCGATATTTGTAATTTGTATGCCTGAACCTGGCCACTGTTTTTTACTTATACCTAGAACATTAATTTGGAGGTTTTTTGCTTTAAGGAATACGTTCGCTAATTTATCACTTGAACATCGACTTCTAAAACTCTAGGTTGCTACTTTAAATATTTTAAATGCTCTGATTTATGATTTGGGAGGCCCTATGATCTACAGCTATTTTTCCCCTGCTGGATCTTTGATTCCGTAGTCCATAATCAGTCAGTTTGTTTACTCTTTTTTTACATTTGCTTTTTCACATGTTTACTAGAAGTACTCTATGAGTCTGTAGTACAGCGGTTTTTCGTTGCATTCTCTATCGTTTGGCCAAGTTTTTATTTCATTCGCCTTTAGGGCTAGTTTACCATTTACCATCCCCATAGTAGTAGTAGTTAGTAAGTATTACCGACACTTAGGACTAAGGAATACATAAAAAATAATTTGTCGAAATATCTGAAAGGTTAAATAAATTTGGCTTAATGGTTTTAATCCCTTTTTACTAAAAAGTACATTTTATAATATAATGTTAATTCCTTTTTACCATTTCCGGCAATTCGAGTATTGTAGCTTAATTCTAACCTCATGGTATTTTTTTTATAAATTTGAGTTTTGTAAATTATTCAAACTATGGTGTAATTGGTGGTATATCTACAAAGGCAAAGTTATTCAGAGTTAGGAAAACCAGTGGTCAATGTATAACATAAATAGGTGGTAATGTATAATTGTGACTACATTAGCAGATTTTACTTTATCACATAAATATTAAGTAAAAAACCAAAAAATGTGCTTTACTTTTTAAATTCTTGCCCGGTATGCATTTATCTATAAAAGTTGTGAAAATATGCTAATCCATAGGCACCTATATAAATGCCTATTTACCATACCCCTAATAATTATATTTTCAATCAATTTTTATTTCTACTGCTAAATTAATCTTTTCTTGCCATTAGTCAAACAAAATTAATCATATACTTACTATCTTCTGGAATTTCGATCCTAAAGGTGAGTTTATCTCCAATCCTGACTGTTTCGACTTCTCTTTGGCGACTGTCCAAGATGCGGATTCTTGGTGGTGGGGCCTCGGGGGCGGATGTGATACTTATCATCTCCGGATCCCTGAAATTGTGAATTAAATTGCTGGTATAAATCTTCGGCAATTGTGATAAATTCAGAGGTATGGATAGATAAAATTCAAATGGAAATAAAGTAGTACCTGCAAGGTAATACAGGGAATAGAGAAAAAATTTAGAGTTCATTAAATGTTGTAGTTTTTAGTAAAAACAATAGTTATTTAAGTAACAAAGATATTAATGATATACATTAGTTAAATATCAGATAATTATTTTCAAAATAAAGTCTGTATCGAAAATAGTCTATGTGTTATTTACAGTAATATTCTGTTTACATTCTTTACTGGCTGTGCTTAAGACCACTCGGTTTACTTTGATTTGTTGTTACAAATGGTGACTACATATTTAAACGGGGTAAATGAAATAGGTCCAAACTAGTTTCTGGACTTCTGATGGAGCAAGAGATTATTCCAGATCAATGTTCTTTTCTCAGTGCCATTTTTTTATCGAGGTTGGCAATTACCATGGCCACTTTAACTTTCGAATATGTTATAACCAACTGAGAAACACATTCATCAAAAATATTTGATAAAAAATACTTTAACTAGGCAGATGTAGGTAAATGCAGCGACCATACCTAGTATTATGTTAAAAAAAAATCATCATGAAATACTTTACACCCAAGAAAGCGGGACCAAAACAAATCGGAGGAACAAGCCAAGGGTCGAAGGACTAAATACAGAATCCACGAAATAGTTTAGAAAAAAATATTATAATCCGAGACGATTGCTGAAAATCAAATACGGGAAAATGATAATATCAAGGAAAGCTGGGAAAAATTCAAAAATAACATAATTAACGCAGCAAAAGAATCACTTGGAGAGAGAAAACTAACAAACACTAACATATTAAAAAAGATTCATTGTTTGGAGAGGAGACGAAGACACAATATAAAGAAAAGAAGAAATTGTGATCTGTATTTCACAATACAGATCACAATAAACACAATAGGCATACAACCGTGACAAGCGAATCAGAAATAAAACGAGTACTTTAGTCAGACAATTAAAAAGGGGAAACTGGCAGAACTTTTCAAAACCCATGGAACACGATTTTTACGAAACACAAAAAGAAATACAGAGAATGATCAGGAAACAAAGAAAAGAGAAAAGACTAACTTTAATTTCTATCAGCTACAGGTAATGATAATGAACAATTAACCGTTATGAATGAATTCATAGCACTAGCAAAAAATTACAAGGTTTTAGGTCGTAAAGGTCATGCACCGATGCTGTATATATAATGCAAGCGCAAGTAAAATAATCAGAATACAGCAAATGGGCATATCTATGTTTTGTAGACCTTAAGAAGACATTTCACAGGGTCAAATAAAAGCACGGTATCCACTTATTGTACGCAAGAGAGATACCTCTAAGAGTACTCAAAACGATCGAAAATATCTAACAAAACAACACAATCAAAGTAAAAGTAGAAGAAGAACTAACTCACCTTATTAAAGCTGGCAATAGGATAAGACAGGAGAAAGAATTAAAAAAGAGAAGAACTTAAAATATTCTGATATGTAAATGAAGCAATTCTACTCTCTTAAAGTGAAAATGATTTTCAAAGTATGCTGCACCAATTTAATACAGCTGACAGGAAATTTATTATGTTAATTTCTCCACAAAAAAGACAAAATAAAGTTTTTATTTCTATATTTACATCCTACTTATTATTTAATTTTACCCTAAAGTATCTAAATTTGTGAACTTGTTCTAATTGAGTGGTATTTAGGTCAATGCGAAAATTTTTATCGGTTTTGTTAATCCCACTACTTTATTTTAATAGAAACATTAAAAGCAAATAGTGCTTTTAGTGTGACTATACGGTTAAAAAAGCCTAATTGCGTGTTACTAATGTCTAATATTATTCTAATTTGAAGTGCATTTTGGTATGTATGAATTTTAGAACGGTGTTTAGTGTATGTGATATGGGACTACTTTTTCGGAAATCTTTTTCATTCTCCTGAAATATATTTTATTTAGCAGCCATATAATTTTAGATTTTAACATTTTTCGAGGATGTTTTCTGTTGTATATATGTTACATATAACTTACATATAACTTACAATATAACTTACATTCTATTACGTACTTGCTTTTTCTTCACAAGTGGTTTTCATGTCAAAGTTAGAACTCGATTTCATTTAGCATTAGATATGTTTAACTAGTTAAATTTGTTAACGAGAGGAATAAAAAGTAATAAAATCAAACAAGAGCAATAAAATAGTATTATACCCTTATAATTCAAAACAAAGGCAACAACAACATTTAATAGATTTATTTGGCTATCAAAGGTTAAAGAACACCCACAGAGAATAAAAAACTAAGTAAAGCAACACAAGCCTTAGACGAAGAAAAGTGAAAAGGCTATCAAAAAATGTGTACACTTTTTATATTATATATGAAAGGGAAGATTTCTCTGGATGGCTACACCATGCCACACCACATGCTGGAATGATATTTGTGCTAATATTTTAAATCGGATTTACAACAGGTATAAAGAATAAATCAGTTGTTTTTATTACCTTTTATATAAAAAACACGTAGTCGGCAGGCAATTACAGAATTAACGTTAATAACAGAGATTTATATATCCAGAAATTAATTTAAGTATGCAACGAAATATATAAAAAAGCTAATGATCGTAATAAATAGAAAAAATAAATACCAATAATTAGCACAGTTTATTCTTATTTTACTATTTTTTGAATGCATTTTGTCTCTTACTATTTAACTTATTTACCGAGCATATCAATGAAAAAAGTCCAGAAATTGGAGTCAATGAATGGTTTTAACACAAAACTTTGATACTAAATAAAACTCAAAATTAACAAATTAGATCAAAATTAACTATAATCGGCATCTTTCTGAGGAATGTACAAAAGTATATAAATTTAAACAGAGTTTAAAAATTTAAATATAAACAGCCAATTATACTACTCCAATTAAATTTGAATTTTGAATTTTAATTACTGTATTATATTATTGTATATTCTGAGGAATGTACAAAAGTACATAAATTTAAACACAGATATAAACAGCCAATTATACTTAAATAATAAGTAGGATGTAAATATAGAAATAAAAACTTTATTTTGTCTTTTTTGTGGAGAAATTAACATAATAAATTTCCTGTCAGCTGTATTAAATTGGTGCAGCATACTTTGAAAATCATTTTCACTTTAAGAGAGTAGAATTGCTTCATTTACATATCAGAATATTTTAAGTTCTTCTCTTTTTTAATTCTTTCTCCTGTCTTATCCTATTGCCAGCTTTAATAAGGTGAGTTAGTTCTTCTTCTACTTTTACTTTGATTGTGTTGTTTTGTTAGATATTTTCGATCGTTTTGAGTACTCTTAGAGGTATCTCTCTTGCGTACAATAAGTGGATACCGTGCTTTTATTTGACCCTGTGAAATGTCTTCTTAAGGTCTACAAAACATAGATATGCCAATTAAATTTGAATTTTTAATTTTAATAATATTGAAAATATTAAAATGCTATATACGGATCCAAGCACCATACGGATGCGAAACATTACAAACAATATAAAGCAATATTACATAAAAATACGCGTTTGAAATGTGAATGCATCCACGAATGATATAAATAATTATTATTTTAGTCTACTACCAAAGTGTTGGACTAAAGATAAATACTACAAAGACAAAGGTAATGGTTGTCAGTAAAACGCCTATATAACCAGAAGTGGTAACAACTTATGGAGAACAACTGGAGAGAATCAATTTATCTTGGTTGTAATTTAAATGAGAATAGGGACTGCAGCAAATAAATTAATATACATATAGAGAAGGCCAGAGCTGAATTTTTTAAAATTAAGTAAATCTTATCTTAAAACATTATTAGTTTGAGATTGAAAATTAGATTATTAAGATGTTATTTCTTTATTCTTTTATATGATGGTGAAGGTTGAACTTTAACAGATACTCTATTAAAAAAACTTGGAAGACTTAAAAGAACTAAAACACTTTGAAATCCAAGTGTATCGGTGAACTCTACGAATAAGTTGGGTAGATGGAGTTTGTAATGAGGTTGTTTTACAGTGGACGGGGAAAGTTAAGTGAAGAGTCAAAAAAAGTAAATTTAAGTATTTTGGCCAGATTTTGCGTCACCCAGAGAGGTATAAAATACTCTTTATTTAATAATAAAAGGCAAGAGAGATGAAATAAGAGGGCCAGGTTGATGCCGAACGTCATGGCTTAAATACCTGAGAGAATGGTTTAAACAAAATTAGTATGGCCAATTTGATAGTTAACGCATTATAATCGAGCATGGCGTAAAAACAAGAAGACGAACAAAGTGTAATTCCACCGCAACGATACCTACTAGGTAACATAATTAAAATTAGAAAATAATCATACCTTATACATTTTAACAACACAAATCCCTGGAAGTAGATGTAATCTAACCAGACTATTATACAAAGAATAGAAGAAGAATCCACCTGATTCCCTCTTTTAAGAAGAATTATTCGGAGTGGCTTAGAACTGGTATACAAACAAAAAATTTGGAAAGAAAATATAGCAACCTTTATTTTATAAGTACTAAAGCACGGTATAAAACATCCAAAATTCAAACAATCTACTAGCTCCAGATTATTTTCTTTAAACGTGACAGAAAAAATTGTGCGCAATTATACTAGAACAGAAATTCTAGAACTTTACCTTCCGTCAAAGAATCAAAAAATCGACAGAAACTTCATTAGCTGATCAAATCACTTAAACAGAGAAAACCTTGATGAAAAAAGTGATATCTGCCATTCTAGATATATAAAGGGAGTTTGACAATATTCTACACAAACATTAAAAAAAAAACAGAATAAGATAAAAAAAAAAATTTTTGTTAAAATCCTTTATAAAAGGTATATAAAATTGCCTCAAACGGGCTATCACAAACACATTGCAAAACGTTTTCGGATTAAACAATCCATCATCAGTGCAAACGGTTGTACATGCTAGTAGCCACCAAAATATATGGGTAAAAACCCTTTAAATGTTATAAATTTGAAATAGTTTTACATTATTAGTGTTTCTAATTTGTGATGGTTAAGTTACCGTTGGATAGGTAACATGGCGGTGCATGACTCTACATGAGTAAAAACAAGTAGAGTCATGCGCCGCCATGTTACCTATCCAACGGTAACTTAACCATCACAAATTAGAAACACTAATAATGTAAAACTATTTCAAATTTATAACATTTAAAGGGTTTTTACCCATATATTTTGGTGGCTACTAGCATGTACAACCGTTTGCACTGATGATGGATTGTTTAATCCGAAAACGTTTTGCAATGTGTTTGTGATAGCCCGTTTGAGGCAATTTTATATACCTTTTATAAAGGATTTTAACAATTTTTTTTGTGATATATGATATACAGCCAGCTACAGGAACTTAGTTTCCTCGTGGAAGAATAAGATAAGTATATAGTACAACAACTAACTGAAAGGTACGATTACTTCCTACACGAGTGATAGAGATGAATATATCGTAAAGCACCTTTCCCACTAAAATATCGTAAAGCACCAGTAGAGGCTTTCCACCAGAGGCAGTTTCATTTCCACTCACGTAGAGTTTAGAAATAGATCAATTTCTATGCGATCTAATAAAGCTAGGAGTATCTTTCCAAGAGTGCCAAGAGTATGCCGATAAAATCGTCATAATTAAAAAAAAAACATTTAAAACATCCTGTGTATAAAGATGTGACTTACTATTAACGCCACTAAAATAACTTTAGTAAGATTTACAAAGAAAGGAAAACTCAACCTTAAAATCATCATACAAAATAAAAGGACAACAGAAAATAGACTATTCTGAGACAAGTATAAAAAGAGGTGAACGTGAAGGACATAAAAGCTCTGTAGCTCTAAAAAACTGTAGCTTAAAGCTCTAAGCAGGTTAAAAAATAAAATGAGTGGATTTACCTAACATAGGAACTAGATTGAATTGCCTGTACAGAATAATATTGCGCATGGTGCACTAATAACAGAGAAACAAAAAAAAGTGATGAAATAAATCTCACAACATGGATTCATACAGGGACTTTCAATTCATACAAAACTAGTAACACTAACAATAGTATTACTTGAAGTAAATTACTTTAGTACATGTAAAACTTTTTAAGTTATCCTGTATATATAAGAAACGTTGTTTTGTTATACATGGAATTTCGCTACACTAGTTCGAAAAAGTGGAAAAACTTTAAATCTCCAACTAAATCAAACGGAATAAAAAGCACAACTGACCTGATTGGCATCATGCCGAATGTAATGTTCTTCGAAGACATATCGTATGTGCATTTTACTTTGTAGATTTTATCTGCCTTGGTCATTACGACGCTGTGATGTTGTAGAACCACCGTGTTACTGTAGACGCCGATCTGAAAAAACGAAAAATGTTAATTCATGTTACGAATGCTATGTAGTTCTTTTAATACACATTTTGCGAAAAAAGATAACTACATCCAAGTTGATTTGGTCATTTTGGAAAAGTATCTCAATTTTTTAAGACGTTTTCTGTGAAAAAGATGTTTATAATAATTACATCCAAGTTAACGTCATCTCGGAAAAGTATGCCTATTTCTCGAAAGTCATTATATGTTCCCCTAAATTATCCAAACCGTTCAATATCCCGGCACTAACATACATTATTACGTCTAGAAACAATCAAATCGAAAGCAACTTACCACTGATTGAGTATTGCAGTCTTGTCCGGTCATCGTAAGGTCCAATCTGAACAGATCGCTATTGGCGACGTCGACGTTGCAAGTCTCAGACCTACCCAGCGCATAAATTCTGCCATTGAAAGGCTTATTAGTTCTTACTTGGACGGCGATCTTGGTGTCTTTGCAGTTAACCGAGACTGAAAGTTAAAACGGATGATTTTATGAGTGTCAGAAAGGCAGAGCAGGGACGAACTAAAAATCAAGCGAGATTTGAGTATTTCTTGTTTATGGTTTATGCCGCAATGCTTTTATAGTATAAGTCTCTGCCAGACAAAAAAAATACGTTTGATAATTTTTGCTTATACTACGACATCTAAAAGATCTACACACCAATAACATATTGTCGAGTAATGCCTGCGTAATTTATTACACGGTAATAGGTTTAACATGTTTCATCAAAGCATTAGCTTTATCTGCTTCTGAATGAAGTAGAAAGATAATTTTTAATTAAATATTTTTTGTGTCATTACAATTATGTCTAAAAGTAGAGTATAATACTCTTTTTGTAACCAATTACGCGTTAAAGAGACTAACAATGATCTTTGCATATCTAGGTGTTCGTTTTTCTCAGTATTTTTAACATGGTTAATTTCCAGAATTGCGATAAAGTATAATTTAAAATTTTTTGTTATTGATGTAAAATTAACTAATGATGAAGTTAGTGTTGAATTAATGGTTTTTTAAAATTAAGTGGTTTGCTTATACAAAACATGTTATATCTGCAGAACTCAAATTCCAGTCATAATGTTAAGCATCGATACAAACACGTCTACAACAGGACACATAATGCATACGGTGTGAGAACTTTGAATATTTATATCCAAGTACTTCTAGTATAAAGTTTGGACTGTGTCTTAAGACATCACCATACCAATTATGGTAGCGTTACAGGTATGGAGGTTACAAATGACGTTACAAGTTTGGGCTTTGATGTATGTTTCGTAGGGATTGGGAAGACATTTTGGGGGGCTCTTATAAGAGCTTTAATGTTAAGAGTCTAAACGTATTTCTTTTCTGGAGAAATTATTCTGGGTGTAAGTATTAAGTAGTTAAAATTTATAGATGCTCCACTTCACGTGAAAGGGATTACGATTACGTCTGCAGGGACAAACATTGTTTCAGTATTATTCAGTACACATAAAAGCTATAAAGTATAATGTCTATGCTAAATTTCTTCAAAATTAATTTCTGTATGGATTATCAAGTTTGCGTTTACATTCTTGTCTAATGATGTTCTAACCATTGTCGATGTTTTTGCTTGTCCACTACCGTTTATTATCTATTTCTCCATTAAACAGAAAATGAACTACATTTTTTATCTTATAGAGAAGTTCCAATAAATATTATAAAAACTTTCGAAAACATCTACCAAAACAACAAAATGAAAGTCAAAATAGATGAAAAACTACCTATAGAAATAGGCAGCGAAATAAGAAAAGCTAATTCGTTAAGCTCCATGCTCTTTAATTTGATCATGGATGAAATTGCCTAAAGCGTTAATAAAGGAAAAGGATACAGAATGATACACAAAGAAATGAAAATACTCTGTTACGCAGGTGAAGCAATATTGGCAGCCCAAGATGAAGATAGTCTGCAAAGACTGCTCCATAGATTTAACATAAGATCAAAAGAATTTAATATGACAATCTCATCTCAGAAAACTAAAACAATAGTAATCAATAAAGAACCAACCAAATGTAAAATAGAAACTGATGGCATCAGTATTGAACAAGTAATGGAAATTAAAGACAGAATTACACTGTCTAGCTATGAAAACCTGGACAAAGAAGTAAGAAGAACAAAAAGCAAATAAAAATCCACTAGGAAACTAAGTTTCCGTAGCTGGCTGTATACCATATATCACAAAAAATTTATTTTTAATCTATTATAAAAGGTATATAATAAAATGCTCAAACGGGCTATCACAAATATATTACAAAACGTTTTCGGATTGTTAAATCCATCATGAGTGCAAACGAGGTATACATGCTATAAGCCACCAAAATATATGGGTTAAAACCCTTTAAATGATATAAATTTACAGTTGCTTTACATTATATGTGGTTAGAAATGATGATGTTTAAGTTACCGTTGGAACTGGTAACATGGCGACGTATGACCCTACATAGGTAAAATGGTCCTGAGATGAATTGTCTTCGAGGACCTGTTGATAACAACTCAAAAAAAAGCAAATAGACTAACAGGATGCCTTAATACTACTATATGGCGAAACAGAGAAACAAGAATTTATAAAGCCAGTGTAAGATTAATAATGACATATACCTTAGAAACAAGACCTGGCACAGCCACAATGCAAAGGCTACTGGAAAAGCAGAGATGAGAGTACTGAAAAGAATTACAGGAAATTCGCTGACAGAGAAGTGAAGACATGGATACAAAATAAAAAAAGAAATGAATAACCACGTAAGCAGAATAGAGGAGACAAGTGTCGTCAAAATAGCAAGAGATAAGTCACCAATCGGCAAAAGAAGTATCGAAAGACGACGCAAAAAATGAAGTGACAATCTTACATAAATGTATTAATCCGATAATGAACAAGCAGAGTTGCTTATAAAGGGAAAGAAGAAGACTACCGTTTATTACTAATTGAGAAATTTTGTCATCTTCTCAGTCACGTAGCCTTTTTTGTTCCATGTGTTTAGCTTCACCATTTAACATTCCTAACAAGTATGATACGCAGAATCTTTAAACAAATATTGCGAATATTCTTCTGAAGATATTTTCTTGTCATATTTTAGTCTTGCTTACTATCTTTAGTAGAGAATCGACCAATTTAGTTTAAAATACGTTAATTTTATTGTTAGAAATTTCCACATAGGACATGGTCTCAAAATAGAAACTAAAAAAATTCTGTTAATAATTTAACCTTATCTACCTAATTTCTGTTGACAATTCAGACATTATATTATAGATTTTAAAGTACGTGCTTTTAAAATTATGTTGTTAATATGTTTGAGGTGAATTTCAGGGACGACTTTATTAGAGTATAGTTCATTTGATTACCTAAAATTATCTTGAGGATACCCGTCAGATCACAGCATGTGATTTTTTAAAAAAGACAACTACACAATACCATGACTGTCAAATTCTTTCGTTAGTGATTCCATTATCAATCATCAGCAGAAATTTGGAAAAAACTCATGATACTATTACTTGGTAAGTAATTGGCCTTACATTAAGTTTAGTCTCAATAATTCTATATTCTTTTTTTCCTGCGTCTTATATACCTGATATTTATCAAATTTCTCTCTTTTAGATATGAGAATGAGGTTTACGTATTTTGTAACATTTAATGGTCTTGATGTTTCACCCCAAGAAACGGTTTTGGATTTACACTATTTTATAAGGTTGGTTTTGTTTTTTTTTTTTTTATTTTACTCGAAATATTTTTTTATTTTATTTTATAGTGTAGGTTTATACCTAGTAAATACCTAGTTACCAAGTAAAGAAGTCTTTACAAAGTGTAGTTTATTAAAATCGAATGACCATTCCTATCTCCGGCCGAATTCCAATTCCTGTGTGTCATATAAAACTGGTACACTAGTTATTGTCTATATAGTCCAATAAAAATAGGATTGTTACAGTTCCAGGGCGTTTATCGAATTTATAAAAAGTTTAACAGAAATTAAGCACAATTCAGGGCATTAAAAAATATTGGAAAACGATCAAACCGTTGCGTTGACAGAAAAGGGGGAGTAAAAGATCAGTTATAGTTGCACCACAAGATGACATTAACTGATTATTTAAGGGATAATACTTCTAATGAGAATAAAAAAAAGAAACTTTTTTGCGTCAGTAATAGCAACTTTAAAAATAACCAGAGAAACTTATTGAAAGTACTGTGCAGCCACCCGAAAATACAACCTTAGCGAAGAAGATGAAGCAAATTAACATTTACTTCCAATAAGGTTTCAGTGATCTAGTAAACTTTTGGTGCTTGGTCACTTTTTATAACCAAAAAGTGTTCCAATCACATGACAATAGCCTCATTATAGACCGTTAAAGTCGATAAAAATTACAGTTATTCAAATATTAAGTTCGGATAATTCACTATAAAAGTTTAACTTGGATGCATACAGGAGGTTTAAGAATAAGCTGTACACTGTGAGGAATATTCAGTGTGTGGAAATATTTTAATATTCTTCAGAATTCGACGTTACCAGTCGTTAGGAAAAAATTCCTAAGAATACTTTTATTTTCCAGCATGACAATTGTTCAATACGTAACCATATTAATCCATTTGAGAACGTTTGGACAGTTCTGGAAAAGTTACAAAAATAAAATGTAACTTAAAAAAACAGAAAACCATTACGCAACTCTATTAAAGAAATTTTAGGAAACTTGGTATAAGAAAATAATTTATTAATACATTTAATTTAACTTAGTTCCGAGAATGTTATCAGCAGGAGATTTTGTTTTGTAAAAATTTACATGCTGGCTTATTTCGACCTCACTATCCAAAATATTAAACTTATAAAGTAGTTTAATATTGACATATTTAAAATATCAATTTACACAGCCTGGAAAATACGGTTTTTCGTTATAAAAGTTGTATCCACTTTATTGTACTTGTTTTATTATCCGGCCCTGTACAGTACTACACTATTATTCCGTAATCTAGTTAGTTGATCTGGCAATGTTTTTGTACGCAATTTATTGACAATAGCAAACGAAACGATCAAACAACCTTTAACGACGGACTCAGTTCTGTATTTTTCGATACCGCCAACTGTCTTTTCCCGAGTTCGATGTCGTTTAGCTTTTGCCGGTCGGCATCTTTAACATCTTAAATACCACTTTACGAAGGTGGATGGAGATCAAGAATGCATTGACGACTCCAATAGAAGGAAGTCATAAAGTGGACTCTGGCCAACGATTCACCTGGCGAGATTATCAAACAAAAAACATTTGTATAGTATATATTAACGAGGTATTTTAATAGAAACGTTTATATGCATTGAAGTAAATGAATGGATGACGAGTTTTTATTAGCAAACAACAGAAACTGTTGAAAAAAATTGAAAGAATCGCTCAATGAACTTGTATTTATACAATATTTATATAAAAAATATTAATGTCTTAAAGCATTGATATTTTTCTTTATAAACAATCATGGTTGCAAAAACTAGTTACATAAACTACAATCAACGTACGATATTTCACATTTAGTTATAAAACCAATACACATATTAGTTTAGTAACCAATTTAGTATTTTTTATTTACATTAACGTACATATTATATCTACGGTCATTAGCACTAGTTATAGTTTAGAGTTTAAAATTTACATAGCGTATGTAAACTAAAAATGATATAGAAAAATATTTATATTATGTTTAACAGTTGATTTTTTCGAGAAATTTGGTCTCCCTGCTGATTTGATCTGAGCTGTTTAGGACCTAATTCGATAAGTATTTGTCCGATTCTGAGAGTTGTGTTAAAGTGCTGACATTTTGGTTATGGAGCAATGCATCAAATTAAACCACCAGGTTCACTGAAAGTTTAATTTCATGCAGCGCTGAGTAACTTTATTTCAGTAAATTTGCCAAGTGGATAAATTAAGCTTCTTTAGCTTTTTAGCTTTTAAATCATTATAGATTTGCATCTTATTAATGATGTCCATAAGAAATTTTATAGAATTAAATACGCTGTTGGGTTAAATACAGTGGTTACAGAAGATCCAACTCCACTTTCAGACCTTAAAGCTTCATTTTAAGAACTTTGTTACATTTATTTTTATTTTTATCAGCTCTAAAAAGATATTTCTCAATGTATTACCACTGGTATCTTCTTTGTTAAATTTGGTAGGGAAAATATCATGACATGGGTGTATGTTGAACTGATAGGTTGGAAAGTGCTATAGTTCTGGTTTTAGATAAGTTTACTATGGTTTTTATGGGGTTTTTGTGGTAACGTAACTAATGGATGGACTGGAGGATTGGAGATTATACGTATTTAAAAAAAATGCAGCATCATAGGACAGAAGAAGATAAGATCGAACCAGTAATTTAAAGTTAATTACAGAGATCTCAGAATTAAAAGAATTAATTTTTCTGCTAAAAATAACTTTGTATTTAGAATGGCAGAGGATAAGTCCTTAAGAAGCATTTTTGTTTTGTAGATTATTTCCTGCTATATGCTAGTAGTTAAGTTAGATTTACCTTGACAGTATATTATTAGGTCATCGATATATAATACGCATTTGATTGTTGGAGCAATATTGTAACTTAACTGGCTAATCGCAAAAATGAATAAGAATGTGCTTAAAACTGAACCTTGAGGAATTTTATCATGTTGGATGTATAAAGAAGAAAGAAAGTTATTGACGAAAACCCTGAATGATCTAGATGTTAGTTTTTTTTTAAATGGTATATATTCCTGGTGAGGTTACATTGAGAAAGTTTGTCAAGAATTCCATTTCTGCGCCTTCTATATCGAAGATACTTGGTTTAGATTTGCTTTGCTATTCATTACGTTAAAAATATGGTTTGAAGTATTAAAAGATTATCTCTTGTCGAGCGTTTTCTCTATTAGCCAGATTAATCTTTTGAAATAACCTTGTGTTTTTTAATATACCACAAAAGTTTTCTCTCACATTAGTTTATATAAACTGCATGTGAGAGAGATAGGCCTTTACGATTGTGGTAAAATATTTGGACGATTTGGTTTGAGTATTAGAATAACAATACATTTGCCTCATTAAGATGTTAATTTATGTGATCTCCAGATTATATTATATAAAGTTAGAAATTCATGCACACCACAGTTAGGACACCACAAAGAGACAAATGCTTTAGAAATGCATGCACAAGAAATATCACCAGATCCAGCTGTGGTGTTACTCCTGTGTAGTTATATTTCACGATTAGAAAAAATAATATAATCAGGTTTGTATCTAAACTTCTCTTCGAAATGTTTGGCGAAAGGTATTCAAAATAAGTTCATGTGTGGTAATCTCTGTTTTGTGATCTTGTGGTTGTCGAATTTGTTTTAAAATGCTGGCTAGAATTAAAATTTTTGTTAAAGAATGATACGTAATCTTACCAAGATGATTTTTTCCTTTATTTACAGATATGTTTGACTTTGGCTTTCTATTTTTTGTAAGTTATTATACTTTTAAGTCTTATCGTTTTCTGGAACCTATTTAGAGCTTTTTTAGATATTCGTCGCCTCTTTACAAAAAGAGTTCCCTGAATAAATCGCTTTATTATTTGAAGAGAATGTTGTGTTGTCAATGTATCTTAGCAGCCGAGAGGATGGTATTTGATATTGATGTTAACAAGTAAACATCATTGGATATTGGATGATAATGAGTGAGCAAGAGAGTTTTAACGGCTTTGAAATACTGTAGCTAGTTAGCTATATTTAGTAGCCAATAGCTTTTGGCAGAGTCTACTTCATTACAATTGTTGAAAAATCGTTTCAGATAATGATTGTTGATAAAGAGATTATCAGCCGTTTTTCATGTTATAAAGGTCTATATTTAGAGTCAGTAATAGTAAGATCTCTAGCAGATAATACTGTAAAAGAAATTTTGAATAGAATACCAGACCTTAGTTACGAAGACATGGATTTCTGCAGTTAAACATATTTATAATTACTTTTCCGAGTCCCCATGTTGATTAAGAATCCCACATACCGCTATGTGCATAGAAACTCTTTATGTGTGAAGGTATAGGGACTCTTTTTTTAGTAAATGATTTGGGGGAATAATACGAAGCATACGGTAAGCTTATTAGTGCAATTAGTTACGGCGATTGCGATAAGATTAATGTCGTCATTATTAAAAATATAACTGGAAGCAAATATCGACGTACCTCCACTAGCTCTTGTACAGTGCGTCGTAATAAAGTGGTCTCTTTTAATGTTTTTAGAATAGGGAATATTACTTGTAGTAAAATTAATCTCTAGAATTAGAAAAAAATAAAATCTCTACGGTAAATTAATGAAAGATACTGTATGTACTGTATAATGTATAACTTCAAAGCGCGGATAATATGCATCGCAGTTCCACTGTAAAAAGTTAATTTAAAAATTGCAGTTAAAGTCATATAGATTCGAATTATATGTGATCTTTAACTTTTTCGTTACTCTTATAATGCTAATTTTCATTGATCTATCAATAAAATTTGATATACTTGTGTCAGGGTTCCAAGAACGGAATTAATGTTGGTGGTCAAGTTATGAACTTCTTAAGAAACTCTACCGCCAAATATTTTTTCAGGAATTATAAATATGTGTTGTATTCCTATCAAAGAAAAGTTTTCTGGATTAGTACAAATAAATTTTTTAATACTCGATTAAGCAGAGGGGCTAGTTTTAACAATTTTTTTGTCATCAGTTTTTGATTCCTTTGCAGCTGATTAACGCCTAAACAGGCTATGGTAGATAGTGACCTTTTTAGAGGTTGAAGAAGTTGATAGAAGACTTGCGTTAGAGTTCTTTTGATACCAAAGTTAAAAGGATAAAAACTGTTATTTCTTCATTTAAGATTATTAAGTGTTGTACATGTATTAAGGAATTTGGCTAAAGGTTGTAATTGGACGATAATTGTTGATTAATATTTCTTGGGGGTTAGGATAGGAGATCTAACAAAGATTATTTAATTTGAATTTTTGCATAAGATTAGATTTAATAAACTTCCCAATTTACCTTTATTTCGATACAAAATAATAATGCAAAACTCAGAAAACATAAGAAATCTTTAGCATATTTTGACAATTAAACTAATATAATGAGAGCTATTACTTTTTAATCCTGTTAAACATTTGATTCCGTAATTTTGATGAAATTCCAATATTTGAGAGATTTTTTCTAAACACCTGTCATGACTAAGTTTTTAAAACCTTTAAGTTTTTTTCTGTGTTTGCTTAAGAAGTAGCAGTTGTAATTCCTGTAGTACGAAGACAAGCTAAATTTAATCATTTAATTATCAAATTTAGACAAATTTAAACAAGGTAGAAATCGTGGTCTGCGAAAAGCTAGAATCGCGTTTCAGGCAAATATCTAATTATGTTATGTCGAGTTTGAAATGATTAGACAAGCAAAGATCTTGTAGTGGTACTACTAATGCTGCTGGTACTACCAGTCTTTACCTAATTTATGCGATAATGTAATACAAATAAAATAGAGATAACAAGTTAGTAAAAAGAAATCGTATGGGTGCAATCTCATATGAATGTAGATCAACATTAGTACGTATATATGATGCATTTATAATATTGATCTTTTTTGTTTCTCAAAAAACAAGAAACCAAATTTTTTACCAGCTTAATGCCAGTGTACAGTAGAAGTAACTACCAAGTCCCTTCGTGACTCCCCAGTTACCGTTTTTTCTTGATAAACTATATCTTCTGATTTTATACCCAATAAACATGCATTACACCTGATATGTAGAAAAAATAGTCAATTTCTAGACAAAAAACAAACGTTTAAACAATAATTAGACCGAAAACATTCGATATGTAAATACAGGAATCTTTTGCATTCCCATGTTTATATGGTCTAGTTCTAAACCAACTGTCAGAGAAGTGATTGCCAAAATTAATCTACGATCTACTACACTTTTTAAAGAAACGCATTAAGAAAAAACAATTTAAAAACATATATCAACATAATTCTCTATCTACGTGGGCACTTACCATCATAACAGGTTCCAGTTTTATCACAATTAACATCGGTTCTGGTCAAGTTGTTAAGGGTAGAATCTTCTGTTGTTTCGAAAACTACTGGTAATGTGTTGTCCGATGCTCCCCCAGTGGTAGCAGCTGCTTCTGAAAAAAAAAAAAATTGATTTACATATAAAATTATACTTTTTAATTCTACTGGTAATACTAATGGTTGAAGATCATAATATTTTTCTTAAGATGCCGTATGATTTCGAGGGTGGCGAGTATCATGATTATTTTGACTCTGTTTACTGCTACTCTGAATATATACTTCCATGAGAATGAAACTATTGGCCGTTTCGGAGCCAAGACGTCGGTTACCCTATAGCTTCAGTTCTCTAAAAGTCATTATGGCTGTTAATGTAAGTTTTCATGTATTTGGCTTTTTGTTAAATACAAAAAAAATAGTTTTGTTTTAATTCATATTGACGCCATAGCAAGGCTACATACATATTTTAAACAATCCTTTGCACAAAAAAACTTCGATTAATATACATTAGTACAGAATCCCAGAGATTCCGCTAAAAATTGTTTCTTAGAAGACATACAATTATAAGATTTATATTATTTTTATACGTGAGTATATAAAAGCTATAAGACTTTATCACGAATAATTTAATTCAGGTTAATTCCCCATTTAAATCAATACTAAAATTAATTCGCCACCAGAAAATTGAAAGAAACCGACAATTTACATTTTTCAGCTATGTCCCGTATGCAGTTGCGCCAGCTCATTCCTGATCTGTGAAATATGCTTCTTTGCTTATGTGAAAACTTGAGAAGTGGTGGTTAATTAGCGGAGTTCTTCAGTTCTTTCAGTATCGTGCCGAATCATCAAGCTCGCTGCGCCTCGTAATTGCCCAATAATAAAGAAAATTAGAGGTTATGTTCACGGTATGCTAGAGGTGAGCGCATTGGTAATTATATTGTCACCGGTATTTCTTCAAGATAATTATAAAAAATATTAACCATTTTTTTTTTGTAAAAAAATACATAAATCACAAAACTGTCCAGTTTTCAAAGCCTATCAATCAATGGTCGTAATAGTTAAATCCTTAAAATTTAATATCGACACCTGCTATCCTTGTGCTATACTTATTTAACTGTTTATTGGGATCTTAGGCCTGTCAAAATCTCATCTTTCTTTATTAGGTCTCCTAGTATTCACTTTGTTTAAGATGTTACGATACCTGCTTCTTTAATGTATTGTATATATATATATATATATATATATATATATATATATATATATATAAATATATATATATATATATATATATAAATATATATATATATATATATATATATATATATATATATATATATATATATATTTATATATATATATATATATATATATATATATATATATATATATATATATATATAATTGCACAGGCATACAAACACTCTCATAGCACGAGCTATAGCGGAAGAACCAAACTAGAGACGGGTTCAATAATGAAACTAAATTAGAAATTAACTATCGACTGTAAGATTGATCATTTACAGATCCGAGAAACATTTATAATAATGACCGTATTAACAAAAGAAGCTATACAAGAAGTCAAATTTTTCAGTAAAAATTCTATCGAGCTTATATTTGCTAGAAATATCACTAAAAAACTACACAGCACCAAGACGAAATATGTACCGCTTTAAAGGATACGACCCAAAATACGGAGTTGAAAAGATTCCTAAGAACGGAACTCAGTAAATTTAACATGATCCGTTCAACTAATAAAACACGAAATAAAATTGAACCAAGGATGATACTTCATTAAGTAGCCGTATAGATAGCACATCACCGCAATGTTACAAATCATCAACCACAAAGTGGACAAGGTCTTAAAAGAAGGAACTATTGAATTCTCCTTAAGTGGTAGGAGTCTACCGATTGAACTAGTGAGGAAAAAGACAACTTATATAAATTCTGTATCGACTTTCCAAAAGGTATTACGCTATTAGCAAAGAATGCATATTCAATTAGTCAATATGTCGAAATTATTTAGTGTACCCGGAAAAGACTGTTAGCTTAAAACCAATCCACTTGGACTGCACTCCATGGGAAAACTTTTCAACGCCTACTTGGATAAAGTAATATCTCCTAATATAGAGTTCGCATTCGCGTACTTCGACGATATTGTAGTAATAATAAAGGCGCTCCAAGTGGATTTAAACGACTTAAAAGTAGTCGGTCAAAGACTGAATGTGGCGACAAAGATTAGAATTAAACTTTGAAAAATGCACATTTGGCCAGCCAGACACCGATACTTAAGGCACATTTTTGGAATAGCAGGAATAAAAACCGACTCGAAGACAACTAGTGCTATAAACGAACTTTTGGCACCTTCAACAATAGTAGGGCCACTAAACATGCTATCGAAAAAAAAAAGTAAATGGAAATGACCTAATAGAAGGGATGACGTTTTAATGATGTTAAATTAAAACTATAATCAGCGTCAGTGTTAGCGTGCCCCGATGTTTCTAAAACTTTTCACCTGCAAACATATGTATCAAACTGTGGGCTTGGGGTTTCGTTAACGCAAAAATATGACGGTAAAAACCTTAATCTGCTAGTCTTACTCTCAAAACAGCTGAAATAACATTCTCCACAAACGAAAAATAATGTCTCTCTATCGTGTATGAAATAAACCAAATGAGGTCTTACATAAAACGTTAAAATTTTAAAGTCATTTGAGACCATCATTCCTTGAAATGGTTGAAGAATATCAAAAATCCCTAAGGTCGATTTTCCGGTTAAAGTTTAAAACAGTACACATATTAGATATTATACAGAAAGCGATTTCACAACAAAGCGAATGTTTTATCTAGGCAAACCGCAAGAAGTCTGTAGAGAATAACCAGAACTGCAATTGTTAGCATCAACACTTAAAGCGTGCAACTTGTAAGATAATTTATATAGAGATGTCCTCCAAAATCAGACAGATTTCCCGATTTAAAAATATCAGATAGTACAAACATATTTGGAGTAGCCGAAACTTTAATGGAAATTATGTGTACCAGGGTATATAAGGAATGAATTTTGGAAACTCATGACTCGACTACGGCAGGTCATTCAAGAATTGCCAAAAACCATTTGTCGAATTGTGCAAAAATACTGCTAACATAAGACGTTTAAATAAATAGCAGACCATGTTAAAAATCCTAGGAAATGTCTTCAGCATAAACGGTCTCAGATGCAACCTGCACGAAAAATGTAAAAAAGTCTTAGCATACTATTTTAACTAATTTAATAGGACCAGTCTTAAACTCTACAAAGGGGAACAACGTTTTGATTGTTATTGAAGACCGATTTACAAAATGGGTTATTGTCTAGCCCATACAGAAAGCAACCACAAACCTCATCATCAACACTCTGCACTTAAAAGTATTTATGCAGTTTTTAATTCCGAAAAAAGTCATCTCGGATATATATAGTTTCGAGATTCTTAAGAGGAACATAGGGCTTTCACGAAGTATCTCAAGCAAACTCTATTCGTCGCTAGTGGTTTGATTTCAAGATAGTACTGTCTTTTTCCAAGTTTTTTTAGATCTGCCCACTTTCCGTCGGTCTTGTGGATTCCTATTTGGTCTACAGGTATACATTTTATTGGATAAAGATTCGCAATTTCCGAGTAGCAGTTTTTACCGTTCCATAGTCATACAACATAAACCACATCTTTTCGCCTTATTTCTTATTGAAATCCACTAAAACGAACCAAAACCAACACAATGATAGCTGCATACGTAGATGAAAACCATAAAGAGTAAAATAAATTTATACCGGAATTTTATTACGCCATAAATTTGTCATGTATCATATCGTATCATATCATTCGCAAATGACATGATACGATACGGTTTTCAACAACGATTTTGACTAGAAAATCACGCCATAAAAAAGGAATAGTATATATATATATATATATATATATATATATATATATATATATATATATATATATATATATATATATATATATATATGTATATTATATATATATATATATATATATATATATATATATATATATATATATATATATATCCTCCGCTAATAAAGCTTTTGGAAGCAAGATGGCAAAATATTCAGGACCGTACACAATAATATCAGTTACATCACCTAAAATGGTAAAAACGTTCACTATAGTAGCAATCGCAAATTATCATATGAGGGAGATGCACCTTTAAAGAGGTGTAATCTTCACGTCATATGCATATTCAAAGGTATGCTGCATTTTTTTTTCCTAAAGGGAAGTGAGTTTAACGTTGGCACGGCTAGCGCTTGCCACCGGCTCTCTCTCGCTCTCTGTATGAACGGACTTTCACTAACAACCTACCACTATCATCGATGCACGCTAGAGATGAAACACTGCCACAAAAAAAAAACAACCACAAAAAAAAACTAAGTTCGATCAGAATAATTGATCTGGTGGATCTTTTACCTCTGGGTGTCTGAGTATTGATCACAGACTTACGATCCTTGCGATCGAGTATTAGGCATTATAGGTCTAGTCACTCAAACAGAAAAATATCAGAAATACCGAAAATTTTGAGACGTGATTCTACACTAAAATAATGAATATAATATTATGGTTCTGTACGGTTACAAATATGGAATGGATATAGATAAAGACGGAAACGTCCCTATCTACCGTAAAATCATCTCCTCGGTTTGATATTTACCAATTTTTTATAATTAAATAAAAAGAAAATGATTATTCTTGCAATTTAACTTCTCTAGCAATGTGGAGATTTTTAAAATAATATACAAATAATTAGTGTAAGAATCCCATTCTGCAAATAAATTGTAGGAAACCAATTGGAACTATCAGTATTTCAATCAGAATCAATTGATACATATTTATAAAAATTACGCATCCTCAAATCATTTGATAAAATATCTAAATAAAAATAAACATACAAAAAGTTATGTTTTTGCACAACTAAGGATCTATTAATACACTGACGACCATTTCTACAGGAAACAGTAGTTGCTTCTGCAAATACAAGAATGGAATAAATAATTCATCTTATGGCTGACTCCGGAATCGTATTACGAGAGGCACTTTGCATTCAGATGGTCACGCCTAGAAGTTCTTATCTTGATTCAGATATGTTTTGAAGCATCGAGATGGTATGTGTGAGATTATGGGTTAATTGTTGAGATAATAAATATAGTTATTGAGTTTTGGTGAGCACACTGATTTTCGAAATTGGCAAAGAAATAAAAATGTATTTTAGCAGCGGAATGTCATCACATACAAAATAATTAACCGAAGGGCGATTTAATATTATAGAGGTGATATTATAAAACACTAAAAAATAAATATGGACTAATTATATAAAGGAACACAAAATAAGTCAGGTCGGCTACATTTTTTGACGTAATCCCAATTGTTGATTGGATCTAGCGTAGGGATTAGTCATGAATTCGAAACATCCGCTTTTTCCTTTATTTGAAATATACTTAACGTTCCTTACACGTTTATAAATTCCTTATATGTGAAAATTAAACAAATTTGAGTTTATAACAATTTCTAGTGTATTTTCGTAATCTATGATTTTTCTTATTTCTTCTTTCTATTAATATTATCTTCAATTTGTCTTGATATTTTACTCGCTACTACTTACAATTTGCATATGATACCGTTGATATATTTACGACAATTTTTTTCATAAATCTCAGTACCTGAATTTTAAAAATTATTTGACAAAATAAAAAAAAATACAGCGGAGACATTATAAATTTTTTGTGCGTCATTAATCAATGACGAGATAATTATAGTAAACATCAAAATTTCATGGTCCATCGACGCTCGATATCGATTTATAATTATGTAAACTATAATCTAGAACTAGCTATAGCTAATAGACTTGTTATTTTTCTTCCCCTTGGCATATTTTTTGTGGTGGCATATTTTTAAAAATATGCTCGTTTTCTTTCGAACTTTCCAAACATTTCGACATATGAAATATGTAATGGGTAACAACATGAGCCTATATTTTAAAGGGATAAAATTTCAGCATGGATTAAATCTGCGGAGTCTAATTTTTACGTAATACCTCTATAAACCGGTCGTATTGCAGCTCATTGACTTATTGTATATTGTGAAAGTTTTAGTATATGGGGTGTGTAATTGTCTTGTTAGTTCGTAAAGGCAGCTTCATTGTCATCACATAGATCGCTTATTATATCTGAACGACTGCTCCGGTAGGTAGACAAAGAACCGAGTTTTTAATGAAAACTCTCTCTTTGGGAGACATAAAATCTCTGCGTTTTTAAAGCTTAGTAAGTTGGCGCTCTTATCAATGCGCCAGTTAGTCTTTTCAGAGCCTGAGTTACAATACATGGTGTTAATGGAGCATTATAGCCTTTTACATGCAAAAATAAATGAAATCTGATTTATACTTTCAAAATTGTTGCATTGAAAAGATACAGCTATCTATATAAAAAACAATCAAAGACCAACTCTTTAATAAAATTCTTCACATCCGTTTAGTTAACATTGTAAATCTCAGGTTTATTCGTGAGAAATTTCTATTTTGTAACTTATTTTCATTTCCCAAACAGTTGTTGTGTTTTGTAACTAATAAATGTGGTATATAAAAAAAATTCCAAAAATGATAGTATCACTTATGGTCTTCTTATGACAGTTAAAAACAAAAACAACTTTTTTTATCTATTCACACCTATAATACTGATATATGTTTACTACATCCAAAGAGGTTGTGAGGGATTTTCTTGGGTATTTTGCTTGTAGCACATCTCTTTTTAAGTGTTGAGCAGTAGTCCGCCAGCATTCTCGAACTCCATTTTTCTTAATATTGTTTTTTCATACTTAAAATATCTTCATGGAAACGTTTTCCCTGTTCACTACTTCACAATCTTCATAATTTTGTAAAAAAAAGTCCAAGTGAGAATCAACCAAATGGATTTTAAGAGACGAAGATTTCTTACGGCTTGGGGAGATTTAGATGAATCAGTAAAGATGTGGGTGTTGAGATTATTTGTTTATAATTTTGATATGTACGATATAGATTAGTATAATATTTATTATATTGCGTTAATTGGATATTTACATATGAAGTTCTGATAATGCACGAAGGAATGCTGTTTCCATTCCTTAACCATGTTCTGGGAAACATTGCTCTAGGAAAAAGATTTAACGTTGGTATATAGCGGTCAATTCTAATATAAAATGGCGGTGGGGAGGTGCTATTTTGAGAAGTTGATTTAAAACGATTACAAAAAGTGTTTTGTGAGCCGGAATTGATGAAAGCCATAATTCTTTTGAGGCATATGATAACCTGAGAATTTTTCGTCTGAAAGATAGTGAGGGTTTACCCAGTTTGCAGTGTAGCTTTCTTACAGGTGTTATTCTGTAAGCTCCTAGAGATATTCTTATTGAAGTATTGAGTATAGTATCTAAGTATTTTATTATTGAAGGGCGAGCAGATGTATATGCAACAGATACGTAATTAATTTTGGATCGAATAAGTCTTCTGTATATTTTTAGTAGCATCAGCTTTCCAAGATTAACTTGCTAAGAGTCTTAGTAAATTCAAGCCCTTTTGTCATGAAAGACAGTCTTATGATATGAATTTTCAAATATACAGTTTGTTTTCTTTATGAAAAAATTGCATCCATATATTATAAACCAACGTTCAAAGAACGTCAAGCATTGCTGAATCCATTAATGTATCCTTGTGGTGTGATGCCCTATATGATTTTCACATAACTTAGTCTAGGAAATTTTTTTTAGTACAAAGAAACTTGTCCATTCTTTTCTTTAGCTTTGACGAAGATTTTCATCAACCCTAACTTAATATGCAGTGGTGGCAGGTATACTTTTAGGATCAATACAAGTTGTGTTTACATTTCTCTTACCAGGTTCAAGATACTTCCGCTTTGGCTATGATTTTTTTATAACGGCTTTTGTGATCTCGGCTATCTGATTCATAAAAAAGCAGCAAAACTTTATATATACAGTTAGCAAGAAAAGTAACATAGCAATTACTTAGAGTTCGCCACATAAGTTTTACATTGTATTGGATATTTTCTAAAATCAGTTCAATATTGTCCTTATGTCGTTCTTATGTTTGCACACATTGGACCAAAAGAACTAAAGGGACTTTTTAGACAACAAAATAGCCTCACGGCTTTTTTTGGCCGAGTCTATAAATAACCGTCACTATTATGGTGTATGCTCGTGACCTCAAAGGACTCTGCTTTAAACTGCTTCTTGGGATAAAAAATAACCTTGCCTGTTTCTAAAGTAACATAATTTAAGTAAGTCAAGTAAGTTTTAACGCTTAAGACGCGACTTCCACAGTTACGCTTGGTTTTTCAGATAAAGTCAAATCACGAACTAAATCATTAAGGTCTTCTTCTTCTTGTGGTGCCTATCCATTACGGATGTTGTCAACTAGCATGGCAATTCTAACTTTATTGACCGCAGCTTGAAATAGTCCTGAAGTGGTCAAGGAAAACCATTTTCGTAAATTTGCGAGCCATGATATTTTTCTTCGTCCTGGTCCCCTCGTTCCGTAGACCTTTCCCTGTAACATAAGTTGCAGCAGGTTATATCTATGGTCGTTTCGTATTATATGTCCAAGATATTCTAGCTTGCGCTGTTTTACTGTGGATATAATTTCACATGTCTTATCCATCCGACGTAGAACCTCAATGTTTGTTACTCGGTCCATCCAGGAGATCCTTAGTATCCGTCTATAACACCAAATCTCAAACGCCTCGAGTTTTTCCATGGAAGCTTCGGTTAATATCCACTTTTAATTACGGTAATAAATGAGACTGAGTAGCTACCGCAGTACAGTGCAAAAGATCAGTAGGAAGATGCTCATCTGAGGAGATGGTTTTACCGCTCATTCGCAGAAATCTTTCGCGCAGCAGTTTCCAAAACCACAATTGCTATTTGGATCGCCAACCTTCTAAAGGAGAGGGCGCCATAAGAAAAAGAAGAAGCTACCGCAAAACTAAGTATCTGTATATCATCCTTTTCTTTTTAATCTGGAAAAGGTTTTGTAATATCAATAATTTCTTTGAATGTTGGAGGAAGCAGTTTGCGTAGTTCTTGACTTTGCTTGACAGGTCACATCGCTGAAGAAAAGTTGGGATATATTGGATATGTTTTGACTTACTTGTTATTCCTATTGTATTTGTTAAGCAAAACTAACGGTCTATCGATTCCCTCCACACTATTGAAACTGCAAAAGGCATGTGGCGAGAACCGTTGCCCCATCTAGTCAACACTCTACAGAATTTTACACAATATATGTGTGAGGCAAAGTTTTTTTCCTGGCCACCCACCTTATAGCCAACATAAAGTTCATAACACTTTTTTATAGGAGTAAAATATCTTCTTTGTGATTTAAAAGTTAACTCACTAAACACGTAACAAAAGAGGTACGGATAGTGTAGACATCTACGAGGAATATTTTAACTATGGTCTCAACACAATTTAAAAGAACTGTGACTTAAATCAAGCTTACTGTGTGTGAGACCACACAGCAAGAGTAAGCGTGTGGTGACGTGATCTGTGACCTGTGCACGAGCAGGCAGGTAAGGGTCCTTACCATAACATTGAATGTACATCCATATACATATTTAATATTTAAATATAACGTGAGTTCAAATTTTTCACTTAACAAATTTAACATTTTTAAGTAAAGTGTTATTTTTAGTATACATATATTGAAATTTTACAAAATAAGTAAAAATAACTTATTTAATAGCAAACAATATTAAATTATGTACTTACTTTCACAGTTATTTTCAAAATAAGCACCAATTCGTTCTCCATTGTCGATTAAAGGTCTCTCAGCATTTAAGTATGTGCTTGGACCATCTGGCAGTGTTTTGTGGTCTAAATGAAAGAGTTGGCAGTTGTATTGGCTTCCTTGTGGAGATCCCCTAAAAAATAAAACATAAGAAAAAACTGTTAACAACGTTGTTAGGAATATTATTAAATTATGTTTTAAAGCATTGTATTGTTATCAATAAAAGCATACTGCAATATTTCAAACCAAGAACATTTGCTTAAAATGCCCATTTAATGTATATAACTTACTTGTACAAGAATGATCGGCAGAGGAATTCATTTTCGATCTCACACGCCAATCTGCAGGCCGCTTCACTGGTTACTTGCAATTCTTTATCAGTGTAATAGTGCAAGGTAGCGTATTGAGCTACTTTATCATCGGCCACGCCTATTCTTGGTACTTGGAAGTTACGATTTCCTAAAATATAAATTAATAAAATATAGTACAGTACGAGTAACGCATTGAAATAAATATATAAAATTTATGCATTGTTCATTTTTGTATAGAACGTGCTGTAGAACCATTTGACTACAATGGATTCGACAACTACTGTGCACTTATTTAAAGATGTAGGCAAAAAAACTAAATAGAGGAAATCAGAAATTGTCAGTATCAGTACTGGTTCAACAAAAGGATTTATTAACAAAGAAGTTGTAATTTTTTCGGTAAATGATCTACGATCAATATATTCGTTTCAATAATTCCGATTCTATTCAAAATTATATAAACTTTAAAGATATCTTCAAAACTGTAACTTTTTTTTATTTTTCTGGATCTGTTGAGCCACATAAACTTCCTTGTTACTTCCAGAGTATTATTTGTCTTTATTTTTATTCGTTTACATCTTGCTTATAATTTTTTTGGTTTTATTAAGTCTTTATCTGTCAGGACTATGAGATAATATAACAGGAAACCTAAAAAATTAACAACTCACCATTACATAGGTAGCAATTTTAATAATTTTTTAGTTTTATATAAGTTTTGGTTATGATTTGCATAATCAATGCATTTTTGGTTCTTGCAGTATCTGTTCACAGATACAAATTTTCTGTATAACGATAATGTTAAGTAATACATTTTTTTTGTGTATTTTTAAGTTTTAACATTTGCCACCGTCTTATTTTTAAAGAATTTTCTAAATTTCTTCAAACATGTCATTTTAGTATTTCTTTTTATATTCTTTTTCGAATTATACTGGAACTATTTTACTAACTGATTAGATTTTGTTGTATTGTATTTTTCTGTTATTTTTTTTACTTTCTGTGTTATTTGAGAGTAATTCTATGGTATGTTTTTTGTTTTTTCTTGTTAATGTTTCTACAGTACAGTATGAGTTGAACTAAGATTATATCATCTCCTTCTTGTTAAGAATTTATTTGTTGTAAATGAGTCAGTGAGTAAAACTCTCACAGTATTCTTATCAATTTTTTGGCAAACATTTTTCAGTGTCTTATTTACAGTAATCTATTAAGTGATGTTGGCATCCATCTTGATTTATAACGAAATTTAAATAACTGTAGTATGAGTTATCTACTAACAAATATGGATTAAGCGAATAGTTTACTACTACTGGATTAAGAAGTTTATGATCTACAGACACGTACACTCTACAGCTGTTATATAATAATTATTATCGATATTCTACACCAAAACGCTAACACACAAGATCCACTCGCTGCAAACTAGGTTTCACAAACTTAAACTTATCAAAACCCGTCTTCAAATTTAATATACAATTTAGTTTCTCTGTAAGTTTTGGTTAAACCCTTACGTTTAAGTGTATCTTACCTTTACACGCTTGATTTCCCTTCAAACACAAGTTTTCGAAATAGTCGACTCCTTGGGCGTCAACGAACTGCACAAATTGGCCTGAGGTTCGGCGGTCCGTGTCGCTAAGTTGACACTGGAGGGTGACGTAGTTGTATTCGGCTGATCGGCAGGTGAAACGGTGCTAAAACAAAAAACTCATTATATTGTAACTGCTTTTCTTTGTAATTTAATATTGAAAATAATATACGAGGGCGACTGCTTATATTTTAAGCCTAGGACAATACAAAGTATTGTCATGTACCAACCGACATTATGAACTATAAACTTTTTTTTTGATGATTTATTATGATTTTTCACGTCGATTATTAGAAAAAAAATACATCGAATAATTTACTTTCATTTTTGTTGATAAATCTCGTTTTTTTTTTGTACTGATTACTAATATTTTTTTTAACATCCAATGTTTATTGCAATCTGTCTCATTACAAACAATAAGCAATATGTATAATTTATGTACAATAACATAGTGAAAAGCCGCCTAGTGGCAAGCACCCAGGTAAGATTTAATATAAATATAATATATAATATAACAATTAATTTAAACTTAAAATTTACAAACAAAGTTTAATATAGATTAAACTAAGATTAATTAAACTAAGATTATTAAATACTGACACACATATAAGTATTACAAGACTAAAAAATGGAAAAAAATCAAGAAAAGATTTAGGAAACACCAGAATAAAAACTTGTTATTTCACCGCACTATGACACTATGCTCTGTTTCTCCATATTTGGTAGAGGTCCAAAGGGTCTGGTCGTTTTAATCTTCTTTCGAGTGAAATGTTTTGCGGATTTGGATAATAGGATAGTCTGGTCTTGTATACAGAGTTTACAGCAGATATTGCTTCGTTAACTGTTGGTAACTGTAAATCGTGGTGTAAACTGTGGTTGGTAATGTACCAAGGCCATTGCAGATCTGGCGCAGTACTTTCGATTGGAATCGTTGAAGTTTTTGTATATTGGTATTACTTGCTGTACCCCAGATTTGTGCTGCATATTGCCATACCGGTTTTAAATTACATTTATATATCAGAAGTTTGTTCTTCAGACTGATATTCCTGTAGATTAAGCTGAGTTAAAGGCGTTTCTTCCAGATGTGAACACCCTAATAAAGTTTGCTATTCAAATGAATTCCTAAATATTTTAACGACGGTATTAACTGGTAGTGTAGTGTTGTTTATAGAAACTGGTGGCGCGACACCCTTTTTAAAGCAAACATTATTTGTATTGATTTTAAACTGATAACTTGAATTTGCCACAGTTTAAGCCAGCTCTCTAGTTTAAGTAGGAGGTTTTGTAATGCCTGGGATGCTTCACTTGCTGTAGAATTTGAAACCATGATAACTGTGTCATCGGCATATGTAGCGATTGTTGTATTGGTCGTCGTTAGGAGATCTGATGTGTATATTAAGTAGAGGGTAGGTCCTAGTATGCTTCCTTGTGGAACTCCGGAACAAATTGGAAACCGGTTAGTGATTTCTCCATCTCTTTTGACTTTAAAGAATCGATCTGTCAGGTAGGATCTTAAAAGTGAGCTTATGGTATGATAAAATATGGAATTATTAATTTTAGAGATAAGACCTATATGCTAAACTTTGTCAAATGCTTAAGAGATATCTAGAAATGAAGCAGTATTTGCAGAAATGCAGGTTTTGGAATAAGAATAATTTGAGCAACTTTCCATTGGAGTGGAAATTAACCTGTTTTTAATATTGAATTAAACATGTAATTAAGTAAACTTATGCCTTTGTTAGGTATATTTTTTAGTACTAAACTAAATATTAAGTTATATCCAGGTGACTTTTTAATTTCCAGATTATCAATTATTTCTTTGATTTTAGATTTCTGAATAGATTTAATAGGTAGCGCAATTTGGTATGGTGCATTTATGACTTAATGAATAGCCTGCTCTTCTTTAACTGATGCGGTTAAAATACCTGACATACATGATTTGCAAAAGTATATATGCTTTATCTACATTAGTTTTAGCCCAAGTGCCATTTCCTGATTGGCATATTCATTTGTTCGTAGTGTTTAAGCTTTTTTGTTAGCTTTCACAGCGAATAGTTTGCAGGTGAGAGGTTCTTTAAATATTTGTTGATTTCATTGTCTTTATGTAGTGAGCTGCCACCTCTTTCGCAGTTTTCTTTTTTCCAATATGAGTGAATTTATGTGACAAGGATAGTACTTAGAGTTGTGTTTGAAAGTAAATTCTAGGGTAGACCTCCAAGCAGCTTGCTAAATAACTGTAGTTAGGTGAGCAACTGCATTTTCTATATCGCTATCACTTGTGAGAGGGAAGTTTAGGTAAATGGTTGTTTTTATTTCTCCTCTATATCTGTTCCAGTTTGTTCTTTTATTAGGGAGTGTTAGATATTTAGGACAGTTATGAACTTGGCTATGTAGATCTATGAATAACGTGGAATGATCTAATAAGAGGTCAAATGAAGGAGAAATTTGGAGATGTAATATTTCTTTAACTATAGCGAAATCAATAAGATAAGGAATTTTTAGTCTATCGGTGGGCCAATACGTAGGCTCTTCAGTAGAGAAAGGAATTGAATGGTTCTCATTAATACTTACTTAATACTTTTTAATAATTCTCGTCCACGTGAGGTTAGGATTCTGATGATTTATGATGTTTGGCATTATAATCTCCAGCAGTAATGAAACGGTGTCCGAGCATCTTAAAGTATTCAGTAAAATGATCAGCTTTAATAATTTTATTCGGTGGACAGTAAACAGCAGATAAAATAATCGGGCCTTGTGAATCTTCGACCGACAATGTGGCTTGGATGATAACTTTACTAATTTTATTTATTTCATGATGCTTAATGTTTCTAATTAGGCTTAACCTAATGGATGTTGAGTCCCCAATATTCAACATAGGTTGAATATTGGGGAATATACAAACGGCTCTTACTAGTCATGTGTGCTTTAGAAATGTACATGCCATCTAGATTATGAGAGTAAATAAATGCTTAAACGTCGTGGAAATAAGTAGTTAAACTACTTATTTCCACATCTTTAGTTTAGTGTTGAAGGTTAAGCTTAAGCTTCTCCGTCAGAGTTTCGATGATACCTTGTTTTTTGGTCTGGATAATGATTTGACAAATAATTTCAATCGAATAGAAGAAGAGCTAAAAATCAATAAAACATGAATACCTATATTAAAATCCACAAACACCCTTCCCGGAAAACCCGAAAAAAGAAAAGCTAATACAAACTACGAATCGCCCCGTCATGCCGAAACCAGTGGAGGGGAGGCAAGTAGAAAATATAAATATGACCTTTGTAGTACAACACGGCGTCAGTTTCAGCTTACAAGCGAAGGAGTAACATCTCCAGAAAATGCCAACCCCTAGTGTTGGCGAAACGTCGAGAAATAATCTCAGAAGACAACTACCTAACAGAATGAACAACCAGCCTAACAAGTTAGACGATGGACTAACGCATTTTATCGGTTGTGCGTGTGGCCAAAATACTGACATCGTTGACATTGGGGTAGTTCCCTTTTCGGGTGCGGTGGCTCAACTGTGACACAGAGTTAAGTAATTTTTTTATATTATATATGTCTTTATTATTACTTTGAATGGCCAGTTCTATATTAAATAGTGGTAGATCTTTTTTTGTGCCTCTTTGCTTAATGTTGGAGACGTTCAGTGCTGTATGTCAGTGCACTAACAACACTTTTTAATGTCATCTGGATCTGTTGAAGGATGTAAATTACGTATAACTACTCAGAATCCACGGTTTTGTTTTAGTTGATATGTGTAGTGCTGAGTATTTTTTTCTGCTAAAGATTTTACCATTAAGGAATAGTTTTTGGATAAGTTAGCTTGAACTTTAATTTGGTTGTTAGCAAGACATTTTAAAGTATATTTACCTAGACTTATCTGCTGTAGTAATTCATGTAATGGTTTGATACACTCGACATTTTGTATAAATATAGGTGGTGGCTGTTCATCTTTTTGGTCTTCCAGCATTTCAACCTCTTTACTAGGTTTATTATTTTCAAGTGCCTCGTATCTGTTGGATGTAATAACAGTTTTACTTAGCCTAATTTTGGAGTGTTGTTTGGTGTTTTTTAATTAAGGAATATCATCATTGCGTTGCGGTTTCTTGTGGTGGACTGATACCCATTCACTATCACTTTTTACCTCATCTGCATCTGTGAGATTTTTTTGTGGTTTCTCTATTTGAAAGTTTGGTTTAGATCGTTGTTGCGCGTTTTAAATTTTTTCTGCCGTTCATCTAGTGAGTTGTATTTGTCTTTTTGATTTCTTTCAGGTGGAGAAGTCTGGGCTAGGCAGAATTTTCTAATGCATGGATTTATGTCCTCAATGCGTTGATAACTAGTTTGATCTTGGTTATCTAGTTGGTGATCCATTGTTTTCACTAATTACAACTTGGAATTATTAAGACATTCCGGAATATTTTGTTAATATACCAGACTATTTTATTTATATTTATGTTATTAAATGTATTAATTAAATTGGTATTAGTTCCTTGTTGGATAATTATAACAACATTGAACACAAACACTTTTTTCGGTTATTGTTTTTAAATTTCTTGATAACGAATGGCTCATACTAATTGTAGGTACTAATTACAAAAAGATAAGAAAATTATACACAACTACTTCTTCGAAGCTTGTTTCCAACACGAAGGTTTGAATGAGACTCCTGATTACTAATATAAAGAATTTAATATTAATCGCCGCGTCGTTCATTTACTGACGAAAGTCTCGTAAAGGTAGTCCAAATCAGTTGTGTCTCTTGTACAAGATAATAAAAATTAAGGTTGCCATGGAGTAAATTTTGGCATAAATTTCATTAGCGTATTACATACTTATTTATTTGTAAAAACCTAACCTAAAAATGCACAACTTATTCTCGTAATACTTTGGATACTGAAGGATTTTAAAACCTATCGTTACATTTTATATCGATTTAACATAATTTCGGTTATTGTATAGAAAACTTTTATTTGAGTAAAAGTATAAATGGGCCTACCTCATTTAGACAAGCTGCAAGACAGGCCTCTTTCGTAGACGTATATATCAAAGCGTTATCCAATCCCCTGATCATCTTGTTTGGCACTCTTTCAAAAGCCCAAGGTCTAAGGCAAATATTCTCCGATCTCAGCTGCAGCTTTGTCATGTAATACATGTTGGCTGCTCTTTGTGGCGTAGCAGAAGGATTGTTCGATGAGGTTTCGTTTTGAAGTTGGCACAGCGTTTCTTGGATGGGTATCAATGGGTTCAAAACAAAGCTAAATGCTGCTGCTTGGCAGTCAGGCTCTTCTCGACACCATCCCTGGCATTCGTAGAGGCTAAGGTTTTTGACTGTATAGTAAGTGTTGCCTCGGTAGTCGAAGTCTGTGAGTTTTTCGAAGGCTATTCGAGCTGGAAATTAAGAAAAGGTAAAGTTAAAATCATAATGAAACGTTAAAAAAAGAAAGTAAATACTGCTTTGATATTTTAAAATAAAACAATGTTTATTTTCTTTATACTTCTGTAACTGAGTTAACTAACCCAGAACATAACCCATTTAGATTGGAAATAATCATGCAAAATTTAAAATAAAATAATTAGGGATTTTAACACGTTTATTAATTGTCAAGTAATAAAAGATGTACAAAAATATATATTTTTAATTATTTACAAAATTAGAATAATTCTACAAACCAACAGCAGACGTAGAATATAGTAAGGTAGAACAATTTTATGCAGGAATAACGGACTCACAATAAACTCAAAAAGGCTCAAAAAAACCACATCAACAATAAATTAGGCGACTTTAGTGCAAAAATCGGCAAAGAAAAAGTAGCTGATATCACGAGAGGATACGGATTAGGCACCCACAGTGACAGCAGATAGAAATAAAAACACGATTAGATCAGACCAGGAACATGTACAATAAACGGAACAATATTATCTATAATGCTGTGGCTACACTAACGTTAAGGTTTAAAGTTCATTATCGTATTAATTTAGAAACCAAAAATTCTGGATTGAGCTGCGCATTAAAGTGACTGACCATACTTATTTTAGCTCGTAGTTAGTAATACGTATTCATGCTGATGTTCTTTGATGTGTCGAACTAATAATGACTAATAAGGACAATAACAAATAAGCGCGCTATGTCGTGGTTACATTTCACTTTAATGTCATATAATGTGATAATTAACGGTATTAGCCTAGACAAAGCTTAGACATCTGAATTAAAGTTAATAAACGCTAATAACTATAATAAAAAGAGGTTAATCTTTGTAAATGGGTATATTTATTTAAAAAACCCTTAAAAGGGCCACATCAATAAAACAAACGTTTTCGGACCACACAGTCCATCATCAGGTTATTAAAATCGAAAATGCTAGGTCATAATGCCTGAGCCACCAAAATATTAGGGTAAAAACCCTTTAAATTACATTTAGTTATGAAATGTTGTACATTGTGTTATAAAATAACTGTGATGTTCAATATTAAATTAAATTTGACTAAAGGTAACACATGGCTCAGTTGGGTTCCAGAGCCGGGTGAGAGGGTACCTCTGCACTCGGAGAACAACGTGAAACTGATTGAATCAGTTCCACGTTGTTCTCCGAGTGCAGAGGTACCCTCTCACCCGGCTCTGGAACCCAATTGAGCCATGTGTTACCTTTAGTCAAATTTAATTTAATATTGAACATCACAGTTATTTTATAACACAATGTACAACATTTCATAACTAAATGTAATTTAAAGGGTTTTTACCCTAATATTTTGGTGGCTCAGGCATTATGACCTAGCATTTTCGATTTTAATAACCTGATGATGGACTGTGTGGTCCGAAAACGTTTGTTTTATTGATGTGGCCCTTTTAAGGGTTTTTTAAATAAATATACCCATTTACAAAGATTAACCTCTTTTTGTTATACGTGGTATACAGCCAGCTACAGGAATTTTTCCTTGTGGATTTTAATAACTATAATGTTATACTTAAATATTTGGCGAGTATTTTTGTATGGAGTTGAAGCTTGGACATTAAAACTAAATACCATAAGTCGGCTAAAAGCTTTCGAAATGTCGCTTTATCGCAGAGTACTCAGAATATCATTAACACGACACATTACGAATGTAACAGTATTATAAATAGAGACTTGAAACTTATAAGAACGATTAAAAGAAAGACCTCATACCTACGCCTTATAATGAGAAATGATAAATAATCTACTGCAAATAATAATTAAACGAAAGATAGAGAGCTGAAGCGGAGTAGGCAGAATAGCATCGCAATATCAGAACATGGATGGCCACGGACGTTCACCAGTTACTAAGGGTGCAAAATAGAGAACATTTTGATGTAGTGAATGCAAACCTTGAGTAATGGAGTGCACCAGAAGAAGAAGAGATACTGAACAAGCGAAACGGCCTTCCCTTTTTGGAGGAAAACATGAACGAACAGAACTTTTTAGTATATATAAACACTAAAATAGGTATATCGATGCATGGTGACCGTGTATACGTATTTTTGACTATTCGTTGTCTTTAGTACGGTGCAGTCAAGTTAGAAAAGAAGCAGGTTAACTTGGAAAAGGATTACTATAGAAGCAATCCAACCAATTTGTGGCATTAGAGTTCGAAAACACTGATGGTTTCCAAGGCAACAACTAACAATAACCACGGAGAAAACTATAGCTATCTGAGGAAAATAATGCCGCACGTTGAAACGTGTATCACAAATAGAAAAGGTTATTGCGAGTAAATAATACCAGTAAAATGTAATAGCATTTCTCTCAAAAGAGGAAAACAAAAAACAAAAAAATGACCCACAAAAACAACACAGTTGTTACTTTTACCAGACAAAGGTCCCTACAAGGACAATGATTACATTCACTGGTGCTCAAAAGAGTGGGGATTCCATTTGAAAATCAGTACTTAAGTAACAGTGGACCAGAAGCTAAAAAAGTTGAATCAACACATAAAAATTTTACACAAAAGAATACACTTCGCACTACGGGGAAGAAATTGGGACTATCCAGAATGACTTGCGTTATACATAAGGATTTAAGACCCATAATGACTTACGTTCAGTGGCAAGGTGAACAAATACGCAACAGGTGGAAACGATTCGGGTGCTTAGTGGCCTGCTTGCTTGCTGCATTAAGTGCACAGAAGTGTTGTACATGTATATATAGTAAGATGCCAGGTGAATAGTATACAGGCTAATACAGGATCACGCACCTATACATGTACTACAAGAAGCCAATTTAAGAAGGCTTTATTAGGAGATAAAGGCGAATATTCTTCTGGGAATTCCTGTAGACCTAACAGTCTATAGGTATAGCTTTGATTAGGATTTTAATATAATATTATCTACCAGGACGGAGGTCTCAATAAACTCAAGTTAGAATTCAGACGGCTCCAACATTGATAAATGTATAGGGGCTGGTATATATAGTACAAGATCAAGGATAAAAATCTGGTTAATCTTATATGTTAAACTTGTGTGAAACTGATTGTACCCAGGTTTTAAGTTAAAATTTATTAAGATCAGTCAAAGTTTTAGGACGCAAAGGCTACGTAGGCAATGATAATAAGCAGAAAACTCCGATTTGAGAGTGAAAACAAATAATAAAGCACCAGTCCATATGATCGAATCCCTATCCAGACTGTGGAAGCTAACTAAGAGGATAGGCTGGATGATGAACTTTTGAGTGATAAAGAAAAACGCATTTATGACGTCACATGTCAATATATTTTATATTACGTTAAATATAGAAAACTTATATCCTGGACTATAAAACAACTCTCAAAAATAAAAACACACACATGTCCGTTATTCTGTCGGGAGAGTAAATAAATAATTAAGAAAATATCTTAGGTGTTATCAATTTAGAAAAACCACATTCCCTGTCCAATCGCCCCTGTCTCATCTATTATGAACACAATCTCCAGGCGAACTAGATATTGTGGCATTTTCCTGACTTGGAATATCAAAGAATTAATAATATATGAAAGCTGAAACCGTACTGCTAACTTAAAAAGAAAATTCCCACTTAGCCGCCTATCTAGGTGACAGAGATTTGTTAAATTATATTCAAGCTATGAAAAATTAAAAAAATGCGTTTTTAAGCAGTAGCTAGATAATGAAAGTGAAGATAGCATTTATAATGTTATGTTAATAGCATATAAATTGGAGAATTCTAAGATCAACACAAATATGTAAGCTGATGTATTCAAATTAAACGGCAAATATACAGAAATGTATTTTTGTTCTAATATATCTACGAAACGCTAAACTTAATCAAGAAATGCAATATGAACAAACAATAAATTAATTAAAATGCTGCAAAACATGCCACAAAATATAACAAATAGCAACATATTCGAAAGTGCAAAATAGCCTGTAAAAATCCAAAATTATTTAATAAGTCATGACCTGACCCAAAGATGGCGCCATTGTTATTTTATCAGCGTTTTTTAAACTCACTTGTCTAAATTAGAGCTTAATCGGACTATTAGTTTAAAAGCTAGTGTTCTTCTGGCTTTATTAAAATTTCTTACGATGATAAAGCTTTAGTTACTGATGTAAAAATGCTATTAAGCAATACAATGCTATCTAGTAATGAATAATGCTATTTTACAAAAGCAGACGACATGGTTCCCTAAGATGCTTGATAAAAAAGGGGTCGTTTTATGTACCTATGATCGGAATTACGAAATATTGGAGAACTATGGAGATGCGTGCAGTTGTGTCATAGGAGAAGAAACAGAATATAACAAGATGGTGGTTTGTTGATACAAATAGGTGTCAATAAAAATGCAATAAAACCAGCTGCGATATATGATGCTGCATATTGGTCAGTTAAAAATAAAGAACGACTAATGAGTCTAGTAATAAGAAGATTGTTTATATGGATGAGTAGACCCTCTGTAAGGAATGCTATTGGACAGAAGTTTCCACCCAGTCATTGGCATGGAGTGCAGTACCTTTTAATATAGACGGGCTTAATGAAATGTGTAGTGTCCTAAAGACACGAAAGGCTTCGGGACTCGATAGGATACCACCAGAAGCGGTGAAGCGCATTAGTACTCTGGAGCCAACGTGGCTTTTGGAACACATAAATGCACTGCTAGAAAATTGTTTCATAAAAACTGGAGCACGGTGGATGCAGTGATGAAAGTGTTCTGGGAGTTAAGGGAGGACCTTATCTTGGGTGCAGAGCGTACATGTGACCAGGTCGAGGAAGGGATAAAAATTCATGGTTTAGAATTAGCTGCGGGTAAGACTGAGACTATAGTTCTCAAGGGATCAAAGAAAAGTAAGAAGATAATATTCGAATGTACCGGAAAAAGATTGGTTCCAAATAAATGCGTGAAATGTAACAGTAAAACACTAAAAACTTTGTTTTCAAACTTCCACAAAATTATTTTAAACTATTATCACTACAGCTATTTTTGGCATGCGTTTGCATTTTATAGTCTCTAATGAAACAGGTTGAGGAGGGGAGAACTTTTTGTCTCAAGTTGGTCATTCAGAATTATATCTGTGTTTTTTAATTTGTTTATTTCCATAGATTCTAATAAAGATAGCTTAAGGCATTTATTTTGAATGTGAAGAATTTTAAATTCGTCATTAGAAGAATGACTATGATCTAGAAGGTGAAGTGCGTATGTAGAATCTGTTTTTCTATTATTCAAAGCCCTTTTATGTTCTGCTATTCGTTTATTCCAGTTTCTATCAGTTTGATCGATGTAAGTTTGTGGGCAGTCGCCACATTAAGGTTTGTACACACTACTGTGTAAGTGTTTTTTATTTTGGCTCTTGTTGTTTTTAATATATTTGCCTAGGTCGTTATTTATTAGGAAAGCTGATGTTATTCCTTTCTTTTTTATGTATTTGGCTATTTTTGTTGATATTTGCCTGTATACGTAATCGAGTAGAAGGTTACGGAAATGTTATGGAATAACAATATTATCCAATTAGAAGACGTTATGTTTTCTGATGAGTGTACTTTTTCACTTAACGGTCATCCTAATCGGCAAAACTGCCGCTACTTGGCTACGGAAAATTCTCACTGGATGAGAGAAGAATACACTCAATACCCTCAAAAGGTTAATGTTTGGGCAGGCATTGTAGGAAACAATATCATTGGTCCCTTTTTCATTGAGGGCAACTTGAATGGCAACAATTATTTGGCACTACTTCAAAATGATGTCATTCCAACGTTGGCAAATTTATATCCTGATCCAGGAAACCCTCAAGTTCCAGCGAATACGATATGGTTTTAGCAAGATAGAGCACCACCACATTACCAACTTAATGTCCAGAACAGTATCTCGGTACAATATTTCCCATTCGGTGGATAGGTAGGCGAGAATCAATTGAATGGCCAGCGCGATCACCTGATCTTACATTATTAGATTTCTTTTTATGGGGATATGTTAAGAGTCATGTGTACAAAACTAAACCTTCTGATTTAAATGACTTAAAAGAACGAATAACGCTTGCGATTGGGTCGATCACGCCTGTTATGTTAAATAATGTTAGAAGACATTCTATCTTCAAGAACATCTACTTCATTAACATTTATAGTTCTTTTTCGTGTTCTACATTTTATTACGTTTTGCATTAAATTTTAGTTTTTGATTGTATTGTAATTTCGGTAACCACATGATTTTAATTTATTTTATCTTAATTAATCTTAATAAACTTGAAAGCGACAACATTTTTAAATGGAGAATAAAAATACCTTTCAAACGATATATCACAAGCCTATACTTCCTATTTTAAAAACTGGGGGTTGTACCTGTCATTCTAAGGGGGTTGAAGGTAGGGGTTGAATTTTCACGTTAAAGAATGTCAAGTTATAATATAAATTTGACTTGTTTCGGGGTTTTTTTTATAAATATGTACAGTAACCTCAATAATGAATTTATTCCATTTGGCTTTTACACACTGTATGTACTCTGAAGTTTACAACTGACTTAACAAAAAAAACCAGAGTTTGTGTGTTTTTTGTTTTTTTTTTGTTCAGTTAGTTTTAAATGTTAAGTAAATTTTACAGTACATATAATATAACATCGATAATAAACTACATATTGACTTGTAAGTTATGAACTATTATAACCTGTATAGTTTATAAACTCTCTGTCATCTGTTATATTTTAGAGCTGATGAAGCTGATGAAACTGATGAAGCTTTAGAAATATAGAGTGAAACGTCTTCGATTACACTAATGAAGTAGTCGACTTATTATTTTTTATTTGCCAATATGAATGACCGATTTTTTTTTATTTACTAATAATAGTCGCTTCAACCACCTGGGTCATTAGCGAGATTAGTTTACATTAGTTACTACATTATATTAAATTATATAAAGATGTTTCTTTTAGAAATCTAATTAAGTTTTTAGTTTTTAAATGTTCACCTAATACTGTTTTTAAGTCACTGGAAATATTGTTATTTTGTCTGTTAACTGAATATTTTCCACATTCTGTTAGGAGATGTTTAACAGTAATATTGACTTGATTGTAATCACACACTGGAATGTCTTCTTTACTTATTATGTGCTTATGAGTAATATTGGTATTAGTGTGAGTAATATTATATCGAAGTCGAGAAATTTTGACTTGGTCAGCTCTTTTTAAGTTTACTAGGCGCCACGGTTTCACTGTCGATTTAATTTCTTTTAATTTGGATTCCGATAAGTTCCACTTATTTTGACCGATGAATGACCGATTAAACCTCTGAATTTAGTACTTGAATACTTTTGAAATATATATATATATATATATATATATATATATATATATATATATATATATATATATATATATATATATCTTTTCTTGTGTTTTACTACACTATACCATAAAAAAATATGTGTTGTATTCGATCGAATCAAAAATATAAACCAATAGATTTTTTTAACAGTACCAATAGAAATATAGTAGCTGTACTTACCTAGGGCTCCATATGAATTTATTAAGACTAGAACAAGGCATATCACTAATATATTGGAATTGTGCATCTGGAACAAAAAAAATTAGATTATCAAACTAATCATTAAGATTCATTGTTTTTATAACTTTGTAGAACAACAATTTATTGTAAAATATGTTCTAATTAATTGTAATTTAATGTAAATTTGTACAAATGTGTTTTTTTATACTAAATTGGAGCAAATTAACAAGAACTAGCCAGTTTTAATGTTAAGTGAAGTAAGGTTAGGTTAAGGAGTTCCGCAGTTGCCTCAGCCGAAATCTCAATTTTAGAGGAGGACTGTTTTGCTCCATATCTCCGCCATGTTCCATTTTTCGACATAAGTGGTAAGGCCGGAAATTGTGAAAATCTACAGTTGATTTCTTACAACTTTTTTACAATTTTTGTTGATGCGGTCAATATTTTCCGAGTTAAGGGAGAAAATAGTGGTTGGAGGGGTGAAGCAGGGAAGCATAATTATCAAATTATCTCGATTATTATTAACTTGACATGAATGCACATAAGCAGAAGTCTAAAGTACGTCTCGGCATTGTTGGCATCAATACAGAAAAACATTTATGAAAGTAGATTCAGTATAAAATTATTTTAAACTGACACTCGATCCCTTTTATTGGAATAATTATCAGTGCAATTTACTTGTGTATTTGCTTAATATGTTTCTCAATAAAATATTCATTATTGCACTAATCCAAAACAGTCGTATATTCATGGAATAGTTTTTGTATGAACTGTAAAACAATTTATGTTTCCGCAAATCGCCAGGAAATTTTGACATTCCTGTCAAAATTTTTTGAAGAAAAGTCAGGACTTCCTTACTGTAAGGAAATGTCATTTCCTTACTGTAAGGAAATGATATTTCCGTACAGTTGTTAGTGTTCTACATAAATTTAATAAAGTTTGACAATTCAACCTCAATACGTTTCCATAGTAACCCAAGTAATTTTATTAGGAATTTCAAAGCACCATTTATTTGGGAATAAAATTATAGCGTTTTTTTTTTTAAATCAATCAATATCTGTCGAACTTTAAACGATTTGCGGAAAATAGTATGTTTACCTCGTAGGAAAAGCCACATTCCTGGACTCTGTGTTGCTAAGTCTCGACTTGCGCCTCGACTTAGCAATCTTCACAGTCGTCCAGGAATGTTAAGCTTTTCCTACCCGGTAAACAATGTACTATTAATAAAGCAGCATATTGGAAAATAGACTTTCTTCTGACTCAGTACACGAAATTATAGAAGCAGATTTTCCTAAAAAAATTAAGGATAGCCTATAAATTAATAAACGTACAAACATTTTCAGCAAATAGGATTAGGTATATTATCTCAGGATGGGAGTTCAAAAATAAAATATTTCGTATAAAATAAAAAAGGTCAGAATTTCTGAAAAATGATCTATGCCTTCTGTAAAAATATTTGAATAATTAGGAATTATAATATCGTAGCTGGTATCACCATTTGGTTTGCAAATCTCAGGGGTGAGGCTTTAAAAGAATCAAATAAAAAACAGTTAAGTATTTAATATTTGAAATTATTATTGTAAAACAGACTCTTTATTTGTAACAAATCCTATGACGGATGGTGTTGTCAAGACATTTTTTTCCTAATAAGGCTACTATGCGACATAGCGGCTAAGAAATTAATAATTTGTTTTTTTTTATTTCCTATTCAAGTAATATACTCTAGAATATTTTCTGCGGTCTAATTTTCCATAGTACATAACCAACGTTTATGTTAATAAAGTACAAATCTTTCCAAAACTTCTTCATTTAAAAATATTTAAAACAGCGCTTACTGGATAGAAAAAGCACAAGTGATTGTGTGGCTTTCAGAGAAAGAACTACTCTTAGAATACGATGTGGTAGGAAAGGGGCTATTGGAAATTAATTGTAAATTAATATTAATTAAAATTCTTGGGAAAAGAATAAAAACGCAACACTTTAATATAACGACTTCCTTCCTTTTACTCAGAACTAAACCGTATTAAACTACTACTAATATTGTATTAGTTTGCCGCAAAAATCTTTAACAACAACAAAATAGCACGTATAAAGCTATATATCTGTTCAGAAATGTTTTAAAGAAGACATAACATAAATCGTTACTTATTCTTAAATATAGGTTAAATATCTCACCACTATATCAGCTAAGTGTTTATTTCCTTTTCAAATACGCATTTCTAACTGTTTTTTAAGAAAAAGCAACAATTACGGTAATAATAATGCTAATGCAAAACACCGCCACTGACATAAAATGACAAGATAATAAAATGTGACGAAAACAGTTATAAACAGCGTGAAGGATGTTAAGAAAGATGCTGCGATTCTAATAACGATAATGATCTACGTATCAATCAGTTTTGAAATATGATCGTTCCCATGATAATGTCACGAAGGTATAATAAAAACGTGAAACTTATATTTTTTTATTATTTGAAAACATGCACAGGTTTTATCGAATATACTTTAAACAAGAAAAACTATTAATAAACATAAAACTAATAAACCTTTAGACAGATAATAAACGTTCTAGAAAAAAAGCCAGGTTTAATACCAAATTTATAAGTTACATACGATAAAGTTAACTTCTGAAATATACACAAAAATTATTTTTCACACTCGCTTTCAATCGGCTTTCGCAAACGTTCATTTCTAAATTTGTAATGCTTCCTAAATGAAGATGTTGAATGTGAACTCAAATTATCTCAAACAAGTAGAGTATAATACTTAGAATCTCACAGTGAGCAATTGGGCAAATATTTAAGTTAATATATAAAAAAGACCAACTAACTAAGAATATCTTTTTCACATAGCCACATAATATAAAAACTGTAATGGCATAATATACACCAAAATTATTTGCAAAAATAACATCATATAGGACATGCTAAATCTTCGCAAAATTGGCGTTGAAGGAGAAAAATATACGACTTTAAAATCTGGATCCAGCCTATTCTACAAATAAAAATAATATCGTATGGAATTTTTGCCGGAAGATCCTTTCGTACAGTTTCTGACGCTCATTGCATCTTTAGCTTGTTTCAAGTAGCTACTGTCCATGCTCACTAGCCCAGTGTGATAGACAGCTTTACGTGCCCTCCAAAGCACCACGGTGAATAGCTCGTATCAGTTTTAGGAATTAAAATATCATTGTTGGGAATAGCTCTTGAATAGATCTTGCCCAAAAACTAAAATGAAAATTATTTCATAGGCTGCGTAGCATTCCTAATATACAAAAAATCCCATATGAAGTGATATAATATGGTACCATACCAAACAGAGTAATGATATTCCTAATCTTTTTGAATGGAAGATATAGCGTACAGATTATACGCAGATATGTGCAGACAGGAAACAGAAACAGATATCTTTTACGACGATTTAATAAAAGCAAAAGGCAAGAAGAAAGCCAACTTCGTAATATTTGCAAAATATTTATTGCAAAATTCGGAGCAGATATATGTAGACGTGAAAGCGAATCACCAACAGCTTGGTGAGAGCGAACCTTATGATTAACATAAAATAGATCATAACAAACTTATCACATAAAATCACCAACAACGAAAAATGTCAAAAAAACATCAAAGTGAGTATCAAGATGAGATAAAAAAGACTAATCTTAATAGATATAACAGGAATGCTAATGAACATAAAACAGAAAAAATAACAAAAATTATAAAAACTTCGGTTAAAAAAGAAAAAGATATAAAAGATATATTAGAAATATATGAATAAGAAAGATGGCAACAGAATATACCCTTGTACCATTTCTTTTTTTTATGTTTAACTTTTTGCTAGTTCCCATTATATTTTCCTTTAAACCTCTGGGTTCCATATCAAACATTCAGTTTTTCAGAATATTGAGTGTGACCTTCTCTGAATCGACGCGGGTTGGTATCACTCCAGTACCAACAGTTTTGTTTATTTACATTACCATTCAGCATAAAAGTATATTCATCAGTAAAACAAATATTTTTTAACATTCTCGGTTAAACGCGAGTTCTTTCAATCATGAATTCACAAAACTAAATCCGTCGGTCTAAATTATCATCGCCTAGTTTTTGAAGAATTTGTGTATTTTACGGGTGAAACTTATGTAACACCTTTTTAACCGACTAATATATAAGTATTGTCATTTCAGATACTTGGGGCCAGTGCTATACCTGCTCTATACTAGCGATATTCCATCGTTAAAACCTAACACAATTGCGACATTTACAGATGACACATGCATTCTAGCAGTCAGACAAAACCACGAGGATGCAGCTACCATGCTACAGAATTCTGTTGAACAAATTAACATCTGAACCAGCCGATGGCGTATCAAATTGAATAAAACAAAATCTGTTCATGTCAATTTTACTAACAAAAGAGAACAAGATATCCCAGTTAGTATAAATAGAAACCAAATACTTTATGCAAATCCGGCAAAATATTTGGGTATGACATTAGATTCCAAGCTACGTTGGAAAGCACATATTAAAAAAAAAGGATGAAATAAGAAATTAAGTTCAGAAAGATGTACTGGTTGATGGGAAAAAATCCACTCTGTCTACTTATAACAAATTGTTCTTGTACAAGCAAGCCCTTAAACCGATATGGATATACGAAATACAGCTATGAGGCTGTACAAAAGAAAGTATCATCCAACATATAAAACTATTAAGGAATAAAACGGAATAAAAGAAAAATAAAAATAAAGGATTAAACTAACATCAGAATAAACTATTAAGGAACATCGTTAACGCTCCATGGTACTTCAGAAACTGTGATGTTCATCGAGACCTCCAGATGGATACGGTTATCCAGACAATAAGTAAGTTTGCTGAGAGTCATGAACAAAGGCTCTCCAACTACGTGAATGCCGAGGCCATCAAACTCCTAGACAACGCCAACCAGATAAGAAGACTTAAGAGAACGAAGCCGTTTGAGTTAGTGCCATAAGTAAGTGAAAGTGAAAAAGCAGAGCAAAGTGACTATCCGGTATCAGACCGATATAGAGATCTTGTCTCTACCGCTCTGATCCTGTAA